GCCAGACTCAGCTGGCTTACAGCAAATGCTTCATAAAGGGGAGCTATTGCAACAGCTTGTCCAGTTCTGGGCTGCCTAGTTCCAGAGCTCAGAGTTCCAGTGGGCTCACACCTTTTGAGCTTTAGGCTTCTCACAGGTCTCCTGGGTTTTCTCAGTCATTCCTTATCTGATCTGAGGAAGTGTGACATCCTTGCAGGACTCCTCCAGCCCCTCTGAGCTTTATTTTATTTTATTTTTTATTTTATTTTTTGAGACAGCGTCTTGCTCTGTTGCCCAGGCTGGAGTGCTGGAGTGCAGTGGTGTGATCATGGCTCACTGAAGCCTTTACCTCCTGGGCTCAAGAGATCCTCCCACTTCAACCTCCCAGGTATATGCCACCATGCCTGGCCAATTTTTAAAATTTTTTGTAGAGATAATGGTCTCAGGCTGGTCTTGAACTCCTGGGCTCAAGTGATCCTTGAGGCCAAAGTGTTGGGATTATAGATGCGAGCCACCTTGCCCAGCCCTGATCTCCTTCTGTCTTCTATGGAGGACCCGCTATTCCTTTCCTTTTGTCTTTGGGGGTGTGTGTGTTTTGTCTTTGGGGGCTATCTCAGCCTCTTGAGTGGCTGGGATTACAGGTGTGCGCAACCACACCCAGCTAATTTTTGTATTTTTGGTAGACATGGGGTTTCACCATGTTGGCCAGGCTGGTTTTGGCCTCAAGTGATCACCTGCCTCGGCCTCTTAAAGTGCTGGGGTTACAGGTGTGAGCCACTGCACCTGGCTGCTTTTTGTCTTTCGTGTTCCATTTCCCTTGCCTGGAATGTGCTTTCCCTGCCTCCTGGTTATCCCTCAGATCTCGGCTGTAACATCACTTTCGCAGGAGATTCTTACCCTCCTTCCCTTCTGCTATGGGATGATATGAACCACCGTCACCGTTACGTGTTCAGCATCTGCTCTCCCTGCTAGGCAGCAAAGGGCAGATATCTTGCCTGTCTTAGGTCCCCAGAGCCCAGCACTGGGCTGGGAACATGGCAGGTGCTGAAATATTTGTTGAATGAATCAGTCTCAGCTCGCAGAGGGAGCTGGGACTGGAGTAGAGTGGACACTGAAGCGTGTAGCAGTTTGCCAAGCGATAGGGAAAGAGACTGTCTAGTAAAGCAGGCAGAGCTGAGGGGGAAATGATGGTAGCTACGATTGTTTTGAGCATTTGTTATATGGCTTACAGATACTTTGCTGAATATTTTATTCGCATGATCTTGTTTAGGCCTCACGTTTCCATGAGGGGTTCTCCATTTTTATAGACAAGGAAGGGAGCACATGGAGAGGGGAAGTTACTTTGCCATATCATCCAGTAAGGGATTTTTTTTTTTTTTTGAAGAAAAAAGTTATTTTTATTTTAGTAAAAATAGCTGTAATAATAGCTGTAATAAACACCCCATTATCCATTCCACTCATACCCCATTGTAAAACAGACAATGAAGTTTCTATGGGATTCCGTCTAACATCCTATCTGGAGTGGACCATATTTGATGTGAGCAAACCAGACGATTTTATTCCCCTGGCCAATGTGATTAGTTCAGGTAGAGTCCTGAACTCAGGAGAACTAAGGGGGAGCCCTGTCTTTATAACAACCCATTCTCAGGGAACTAATCAGTTTTCAAGAAAACTACTTCAGGTTCACCAGAGCAAAAACTCATTCACTACCATGAGAACAGTACCAAGTTATTAATGAGGGATCCATCCCCATGACTCACACACTTCATATTAGGCCCTGCCTCCCAACACCACCATATTGGGGATCAGATTTTGGCATGAGTTTTAGCAGAGACAAACCATATTGAAGCCATAACTGAAATTATGTCTTCATCCCATCATTAGACTCTCTAGCGTCATAATTTCAGAGGTCTAGTCCCAGGTTGTTGCTTTTACTTCTTAGTTGGACAAGATAAGATTTATACAGATTTATCATTTCACAACAGGAAAATGTGTATTTTGGCTCTAAACCTACTCTAGATCTGCTTGTGTGGCTGCCTTGGTTAGGGGTCTCCACGGTAATTCTCTTTTGGGGACCTGGAGTCTCCCAAGCAAATCTTGTTTTGAAATAAAATTTTCTTGCTTTGCTTTCCAGATTATCCTCTACATTTTCTAAAGCCTGTGGTCCATAAATATAGAACTGGCGGATGTAACTTGATTTTATTACAGCAGTCTGGGTTTTGGTGCCAATGCTATGTTGAAATGTAAGAGTGTTATTGGATTTGTACTATCTATATTTAAAAGACTAGTGGGTTACTTGAGCCTGGAATGCCTAACAACTTCCGAGAAGGGTCAGAACCACACTCTGCTCACCAAAAAAGAGAGGGCCCAGCAGCTGGCTGGTTGTGAATGTCTAAAGCCACATGACATGCACCCTGTCCGGCTTCTACTGTGGAACCTACAGCAACCCAATTAAAACTATTGTTCCTCCCCTGACTAAACCTGAGGACAGCCAGATGCCTTGAGGGCCTCCAAGCTGTCATGAAGACACAACCCTCCAACTTCTCTCTCAATATTTCCAAACACACTGGGCCTGAGGTAGTGACAAGCCATGCAGTAATACTGTATTTTATTTGAGATCCTCCTCTGTGAGCAGTGGTGGATCAAAGCTAGCATGCCTCCTTCATACCTAGAGATTCACTCACTTAGGGAAATAATCCATTCTATTTCCTCTGTGGAAGTTGAAAGACAGTCTGCATAAAGTGACCTTTGACTCCTATTCTCATATTCATAGATGGCAGGCCTTTTCTTCATTCCTGACAGGCATTCATTACTGCGGCTCCTCTCTTCTGAGGTCTCAGTTGTCAGTTCTAAATCGTGGGTGAAAACTCTAATCTCTAGTCTGTCTTAAAACCTCTGTGAATTTTGTACATGCCTCTGGCCATGACGTGGGACGGGGGAGTTCCACGGCTTCAAGCAATGCACTGCCTTCTCTAGGTCTCCACTTCTTCTTCTGGGCTAGGGAGTTTTGGGAGTTGCTGTTTTTTCCTCAAAGGTAGCACCAGTAAGGCTGGTTGATGAATTCCAGGTGAGATGATCATGCTTGAAGTTGACGCCTGACGAGCAGGATGAATGGTGGTGCCATTTTAGTTCAGCATGGCTGAGAGGCCTCAGGAAACGTATGATCATGATGGAAGGTGAAGCAAACATGTTCTTCTTCACATGGCAGCAGCAAGGAGAATACATTGCCTCGAACTCCTGGACTAAGAGATCCTCTCGCCTCAGCCTCCCAAGTAGTCGAGACTACTGTCATGAGCCACCACATGTGGCTGACAATTCATTTTTGCTTCAGGTGCCTGCTACTCAGGAAGCTGAGGTGGGAGAACTGCTGAAGCTTGGGGAGCAGAGGTTGCAGTAAACCAAAATTGCACCACTGCACTTCAGTCTCGGCGACAGAGTAAGATCCTGTCTCAAAAACAAAACAACAACAACAACAACAAAAAACAAAAACAAAAAAGAGCATGGTAGCTCACATCTGTAATACCAGCACTTTGGAAGGCCAAGGTGGTCGGACTAGCCTCTAGCCTGGCCAACTACTGAAGGCACAAAAAAAATTAGCCAGGCGTGGTGTTGGGGACCTGTATATTAGCTCGTCCCATGCTCAGGAATGACCAAGGCAGTGTGGAGGTTAAACGCACGATGGAGTTGGTTAGAAAAAATTACCCCTCGTAATTTTCTCACTGTTAAAACTTATGCAAAAGCGGTTGCAGCGCCGCTGGTCCACACCTGCGCACTCCCCAAGGGGTCCCCAAACACCCGCGGGGTCCCCAAACACCCGCAGGGTCCCCAACCACCCCGCCCTCAGGCTGAAGGCCGTCCTGGCTGAGGGCTGTTTTTTTTTTTTTTTTTTTTTTTTTTTTTTTGAGTTGGAGTCTCACTCTGTCACCCAGGCTGGAGTACTGTGGTGCAGTCTTGGCTCACTGCAACCTCTGCTTCCCAGGTTCAAGTGATTCTCCTGCCTCAGCCTCCTGAGTAGCTGGGACTACAGGCATGTGCCACCACACCCAGCTAATTTTTCTATTTTTAGTGGGTACAGGGTTTTGTCACGTTGATCTTGAACTCCTGACTTCAAGTGATTCACCTGCCTTGACCTCCCAAAGCCAGTAAGGGATTTGAATCAAGGCAGTCTGACTCTTTTTTTTTTTTTTTTTTTTTTTTTTTGAGACGGGGTTTCGCTCTTGTTACCCAGGCTGGAGTGCAATGGCGCGATCTCGGCTCACCGCAACCTCCGCCTCCTGGGTTCAGGCAATTCTCCTGCCTCAGCCTCCCGAGTAGCTGGGATTACAGGCACGTGCCACCATGCCCAGCTAATTTTTTGTATTTTTAGTAGAGACGGGGTTTCACTATGTTGACCGGGATGGTCTCGATCTCTCGACCTCATGATCCACCCGCCTCGGCCTCCCAAAGTGCTGGGATTACAGGCTTGAGCCACCACGCCCGGCCGACAGTCTGACTCTTAAGAGCCCAAAGACTTAAGCTCTGGCTTCAGTGGTGCATGGCAGAGGGATCAGAAGAGAGCCTGTCTGGATGCCTAGAGGCCATCCTGCAGTGGGCATGTGTGTCTGTGGTCACAAAGGGAGAGAGAGAGGAGGGGGCATCTGTGGCCAGACTGGGGAGGCCTTGAATGCCAGGATGAAGCATTTTGGGCCCACGATAATGAGCATAATAATAGCTACAAGTTCCTGACTTGCCAGCCACTTTACTGAGTCATTTCGTCTTACAGCAATCCTGTGGGATAGCTGTTGCTGTTTTCATCCCCGTTTTTCAGATGGGGAAACTGAGACACAGATGTTGTCATGAGTGGCCCAAGGTGTTGCTGTGAGAGAGTAGTGGAGTTGGGGCTCAGACCCTGCGAGTCAGGCCCCTGAGTTCACAGGGGTCATGTACTGAACCACCACGCCGCCTGCCTGCTGCTGTGGTCAAGCCAGCGGAAACCTGGGTGCTGCTCCTGATGTGGGCGTCTCCTCTGCTGTCTCCCCCAGCATCCCTACAGGCAACAGGAGCAGCAGTTCTCATCTCTGGATGACAAGCCCCAGTTCCCAGGGGCCTCGGCAGAGTTTATAGACAAGCTCGAATTCATCCAGCCCAATGTCATCTCTGGAATCCCCATCTACCGCGTCATGGACCGGCAAGGCCAGATCGTCAACCCCAGCGAGGACCCCCACGTGAGAGGCGGCCTCCCTCCCTTCCCGTGCCCCCTATGCCCAGGCCCCTTGCCTGTCTCCTATCTGGTCCCAACTACCCCATGTCTGTCTGTGCCTCCACCCGCAGCTGCCGAAGGAGAAGGTGCTGAAGTTCTACAAGAGCATGACACTGCTTAACACCATGGACCGCATCCTCTATGAGTCTCAGCGGCAGGTGTGTGGGCACAGGCCTGGGGCAGGGGCTGGAATTACCTGAGGTCCTCTACCTCTGCGTGGGCCAAAGGTTGGCTCCTGAGGAGAAGAGGTTCTTTTTTTTTTTTTTTTTTTTTTTTTCAGCTGTCCATGGAGTTCTGTGGGTTTTCTTGGGGCTCTAGGGGAAAAGTATGAGAGCAGTGCTGCCCTAGGGCAGAGGATGGACCTAATCACTAAAATCACCTACCATGTGCCTTGCTTGGGACTTGCCCGTGTTGAGGGCATGGCGAAGGCCTGACAGCCCTTCCTCTTGGAAACGCACAGTCCTGAGAAAGAGGGTGGGTCGCCAGTGCTTCCTAGAGTGCTCCAGGGACCACCCTAGGCCCGTGTGAAATGTGCTGTGATCCCCGATACATCCAGTTGTCAGGGGACAAAGACCCAGTCAAGCTAGGGTCAACAAACAGGGAAGCCACTGACTCAAATGACCACATATCCCAAGGGTCCTGTTTTGGGGCACAGCTGGACCCAGGGGGCTCAAATGATGTCATCATACCTTCTCTCCCTCTGTGTCTTTTCTGTTCTCTTTTGCCTTGGCTTTTCTCCTCTGCAAGCAGCGGTGGGCTCTGGCAGCTCCTGGCTCACGGAGAGGAGGCAGAAAGAAAGGACGCAGGTAATGGCTCTGAAGTGTCTGTAAGACAAGTCCTAGTCCTGCCCCTTTCTAGCTCTGTGGTCCTGGGAAAGTTGTTGAAAATCTCAGTGCTTCTGTTTTCTATTTTACTTTATTTCATTTAAAAATTTTTATTTATTTTATATTTTATTTAATTTTATTTATTTGAGACAGAGTCTAGCTGTGTCACCCAGGCTGGAGTGCAGTGGCATGATCTTGGCTCACTGCAACCTCCGCCTCCTGGGTTGAGGCAGTGCTCCTGCCTCAGCCTATTGAGTAGCTGGGACTACAGGCACCTGCCACCACGCCTGAGTAATTTTTGTATTTTTAGTAGAGATGGGGTTTCACCATGGTGGCCAGGCTGGTCTCAAACTCCTGACCTCAGGTGGTCTGCCTGCCTCAGCCTTCCAAAGTACTGGGATTACAGGCATAAACCACCATGCCTGGCCTCTCTTTTCTTTCCTCTTCTTTATTATTATTATTATCTTTTTTTTTTTTTTTTTTTTTTTTTTGAGACGGAGTTTCGCTCTTGTTACCCAGGCTGGAGTGCAATGGTGCGATCTCGGCTCACCGCAACCTCCGCCTCCTGGGTTCAGGCAATTCTCCTGCCTTAGCCTCCTGAGTAGCTGGGATTACAGGCACGCGCCACCATGCCCAGCTAATTTTTTGTATTTTTAGTAGAGACGGGGTTTCACCATGTTGACCAGGATGGTCTCGATCTCTCGACCTCATGATCCGCCCGCCTCAGCCTCCCAAAGTGCTGGGATTACAGGCTTGAGCCACCGCGCCCGGCGCTATTATTTTATTTTTTATACAGGGTCTCACTATGTCAACCAGGCTGTTGTATAGTGGCACAATTGTAGCTCACTGTAGCACTGACCTCTTGGGCTGAAGCCATCCTCATGCTTTGGCCTCCCTAACAGCTGGGCCACCATCCCTGGCTAATATTTTTTACTATTTGTAGAGATGGGGTCTTGTTGCCAGGCTGGTTTTGAACTCGGGCTCAAACAGTCCTCCCACCTTGGCCTCCCAGAGTGCCACTGTACCCAGCCAGAACTTCATTTTTCTTATCTGCAACTACCCCATGAGGTTGCCGTGAGGGTTGATGGTGACATATGTAATGGCCTTAGAGCAGCCAGACCGGCATTTAGCTACCACTTAATATTGTCTTATTATTTGTATGACCCTATCCATCTTGCAGTTATTGCCCTTTCCACTTAGTAGTGGAAAGAGAATCATCCTCGACAGTTTAGCACAAGACCCACAGCTGGCACTCATTAGCCAAGCTTTGCTTATAGACCCTATCATGAACCAATAACTGTGACTGATTGGCCAAGCCCGGGCTATGTGCCCACCCCCAGGAACTGAGGAAGTAGAGGAGTAGAGTCCATCTCAGGCCACAGAGATGGAGGGCAGGGCTGGGAGGTTCCTCTGAGAAGAGTAGGAAGCATGTTTGGCAAGGCAGGCCCTTGGATGTCCACCATTCTTGCGGGGTCAGGACTTCTCTCGGGCTTGGGAATTTGCATTTGTGTCAAGTACCCAGGTGACCCTGCTGGGACACTGCGTGGATTCAGGCAGGCAGCCCACTCCCAGATGTTCTCACTCACAGGAACCCTATGCATGGGTTTGCTGAGTTAGGGTAGTATCTTCACCCTGCCCAGAAAATGCCCTGGGCATCCAGCACCCACAGGAGCAAGTCCAGCCCTTCCCGGCCACCCTGCCTGCCTGTTCCCCCATGGTCTTGGTGCTCTTTGTTCCTTTCTCCACAACCTCAGTGCCAGACCACACCACCCCTGTGCACGGAGGCTTCCTCCTGCCCCGCCGTGGGCTGCACACACAGGGGCTTTGGAGTCCAGTGGACTTGGGTTCAGTCACAGCTGTGACTTTGGGCAGGTGATTTTTCTTGTCTTTCCCTCAGTTTCTTTGTTGTTTTAAAGAATGAGGCTAACGATAGAACCACCCTGTCGGGAAGGGGTAGGAATTCTCTGAGACCCAGCAAGTAGGGTTTGTGCCCATTGGCTGGCACAGAGGAAGCCCTCAGTAAGGGCACCTCACTGGCCACTGTGCAGCCTGCTTCTGTTTGGACTGTGTTAGCTGTGAGTTACAGACCTCCTGCCCGCTCCAAAAAAAAACCCACCAAAACCTTAGCAAATAAAAGCAAAAGCAGTAGCCTATACCTGTGAGTAGTTTCTTCCTTTGAATAAAAGAAATCTGGGCCAGGCCTGGTGGCTCATAGTAATCCCAGCACTTCGGGAGGCTGAGGTGGGTGGATCACCTGAGGTCAGGAGTTCAAGATCAGCCTGGCCAACATGGCAAAACCCCATCTTTATTAAAAATACATAAATTAGCCGGGTGTAGTGGTGCACACCTGTAGTCCCAGCTCCTCAGGAGGCTGAGGTGGGAGAATCATTTAAGCATGAGAGGCAGAGGTTGCAGTGAACCAAGATCATGCCGCTGCATTCCAGCCTGGGTGACAGTTTGAGACTTTGCCTAAAAAAAAAAAAAAAAAAGAATCTGGAAACAGGTGACCTGGGGCAGGTATGGTGTCACCATGATGTCATTGGACACCCAGTTTTCTTTGTTTAGATCCACCACTCATAGCATTGGCTTCTACCTTCTCTGAGGTCTCCTCATGAGTCAAAATGGTTGCTGAAGCTCCCTCCATTACATCTCATTCCAGGCAGAAAGTAGAGGAAAGGTAGAAGGCCAGACATGGCACATCCCAGCTATCCCACACCCCAACCTTTAAGGAGCTTTCTGGGTAGTCCCACCTAGTAACATCTGCATACATTTCATGGGCCACTCGTAGCTTTCGGAGAGACTGAGAAATGTGTTGTTAATCTTTTAGTCTGGGCAGTTGCTGCCTGCGGGAGAATGAGACCTCTGTTAACAGGAGAGGAATAAGATACTGGGAAGGCAACCAGGAGCCTCTGACAGTAGGCCTGAGTCCCGATCTTCAGGGGGCTGGTCGCAGGCTCCTTCCCACACTAACCCGGACAGCCCCGCCAAGCTCTGGGCACTCGGTGCTGCCCACTCACTTGGCGCTGGGTCATGCATTAACTTTTAATTGGCTCTCCACTTAGAAGAAAGCACATATTCATCAGTTTCCCCCACAGCAACAGGAAAGCCAGGCCTGGGAACACGTGGAGGAGGGCACTGCAGAGCCACGAGGAGCACTGGCCCCGGGGTGTCCTTCAGGGTGCTGTCCAGGCTGCCTTTATTCCACTTCACACATGGCCCTGGGTGATCTCATACCCATCTGTATGCCAGGGCTGCCCAGACCTCAGCCACACTGCTTGTCAGAGCCCTGCTTGGCTTCTTGCCCTGGATCCCCCACAGCAAACTCAGCCTGTCTGAACTTGACCTGGATATCTTGCTCCCAGGCCTGCTCCTTTGCCTTACTTAGTCCATTTCTCAGTGAAGGGCACCACCATCCATCCGCTCGCCCACACGGGAAACCTCATCTCACCCGTCTCTTCCTTCCCCTTGCTATCCCTTTCTCCTCTTTCATTCCCTCTGTCTGTACGTATTTCTTTCGTTTTCTGTTATTTTTATTTATTTATTTAGAGACGGAGTCTTGCTCTGTTATCCAGGCTGGAGTGCAGTGGCACATTCTTGGCTCACTGCAACCTCTACCTCCCAGGTTCAAGCAATTCTCCTGCCTTAGCCTCCAGAGTAGCTGGGATTACAGGGGTGCACCATCATACGTGGCTATTTTTGTATTTTTAGTAGAGACAGGGTTTTACCATGTTGGCCAGACTAGTCTCAAACTCCTGACCTCAAGAGATCTGCCTGCCTTGGGCTCCCAAAGTACTCGGATTACAGGCATGAGCCACCGCGCCCAGCCTGTCTGTAAATCCTCCTTTAGGAGCTGCTCAGCTGCTCAACAGCACACTCTGGAACCCAGTCATGTCCTCTCTCTGCTTCCATGTTGTTGGCGAGTTGGCCTTCTCTTGTGGCCTCGTGTTCACAGCATGGCTGCTGCAGGTCCAGGTTTCATGGCTGTCTGCAAGGCAGGAAGGAGGGCGGGGGTGGCCAGGGCTGGCACCAGCAGCAGTGGTCTCTTCTGTTCAGAAAGCAAAAGCAGACTTCTGCTGAAATCTCTGGCTGAAACTGTGTCCCACAGCCACCTCTGGCTGCAAAGGAGTCCAGGAACCTGAGTGTGTGTCTTGTAGGCTCAGGTCGGGGGATTTGGGAGAAGGGAGCTGGCCTGGGCACCCTTGTGGCCAGCTGACGGGGTCTGCTGCTCCCTAACACAGCCGACTCAACTTCTCAGACACAGCCACCTGCTCCTCTCCTTACCTCTGCTCCCAAGCTGGGCCTCGGCCCTCTCTCGCCTGGCCCGCTGCCATCAGCCCTGATGGCTCCATCCATTTCCCTCACAGTGGCCTGAGAGTGAGTCTAAAACACAGGTCTGACCACATCGCTCCCTTGAGAAAACCTGTCGGTGGGTTACCACTATTCTCAGAGTAAAATCAATGTATTGTTCCTTTGTTATCTGAGTGCCACTTTCCTCTCCCTCCTCATCTTTCCCCACCCCTCCCAGCCCTTCTGGCCTCACGGTCTATCATTCCCTCTGCCTGGAACCCTCCACCCCCCCACCTTTGCTCGTTGATCCTTGCCCTTCCGTGGTGGAACAGGTGCTTCCTTTGGGCTCCTATCACAGGGACTCCATCCCTTTCACAGTTCTAAGCAGTCTGGCGGTGTCTCCATAAAGGCAGGAACCCCAGCGTGGCCTGGCCCAGGACTGGCCTTCAAGAAGACTGTGGATTCATGGAGGCGTCAGAAGCTGGGCAGGGTTTGGATGGCTCTCTGTCATTGCCCAGCATAATCAAGTGTGGGTCCCCGGTCCCCCCCTCCACCCCCAGGGCCGGATCTCCTTCTACATGACCAACTATGGCGAGGAGGGCACGCACGTGGGGAGTGCCGCCGCCCTGGACAACACGGACCTGGTGTTTGGCCAGTACCGGGAGGCAGGTATGTCTGTCGGTGGTATGGCCTCATGGCCCCCATCGAGGTGTACAGTTTAGCTTTTCTGAGTGCTCTTACAGGAGCAGCACAGTGTCAGGAAGGCCTAAGGCACTGGAGGAAGAGCTTTCCAAGACAAGCCAGGGGTCAGGACTCTGGAGGGAGCGGTCTTCTCACTCCGAAGGCAGGAAGTGCAGGGGCTCAGCGTCTGCGCTCTTAACCCTTTGTGACTAGTTGTCAGGTTTTAGGCAAGTCACTTCCTTTCTCGGCCTCAGTTTTTTCATCTCCAAAAGAGGGTTCATGACGGTACCTGCATCCAGGGGTCGCTGGGAGGATGCAGTGAGGTCAAGGCTGGCTGTGGGTGTGGCCTGTGCTGGAGACCCTGTCTGCCCAGTGCAGGAATCCCCTGGCCCCTCCTCAAGTACTGTATCCTTCAGGGAGCAGGAGCAGATGGAAGAACCGTGACAGTCCCGAGAGTGCGGTGTGAGATCAGAGGGCCCCGCTGGCCTCGATGAGTGAAAGGAAGGAAGGGTCAAAGACCAGGAATGAGGAAAATCATTGAGCATGAATGAGCCCAGGGAGCAGTGAGTGGGGTGTTCCAAGACGCTTGTTGGTGCGAGCCCTGCAAGGGGGCTGCCCTCTGCATGTCAGCCAGCACAGATTGCCCGGGAAGGCAAATCTTAACCCTTCATCTTAGAGGCTGCACAGTCTGGGGCAAGTTGCTTAACTGCCCTGTGCCTTTCGTTTCCTCATTGGTAAGGGGGATGGTAGCCCTTCTGAAGACGGCTGTTGAAGGGAGTCTTGGCAATGCCCTCAGCACAGAGTGAGTGCTCAGGGGCAGAGGTTGATTTCATGATGGGGCCTCACCTTGGGACAGCTCTTCAGCTGGGCCAGACCACGTGGCTATATAGAGCCCCCGTGGACCAGCATGGATTGTGGTCTGCTCAGGACTCTCTGTTCCTTGAAGCTGGACCAGGCCCCCTGCCCTACATGCTCTGGGAGGGCAAACACCCTATAATATTTGTCTGAGGTTCAGTGTCATCTGTGCGGAAAATGAGATTTCCGGCCGGGCGCGGTGGCTCAAGCCTGTAATCCCAGCACTTTGGGAGGCCGAGGCGGGTGGATCACGAGGTCAGGAGATCGAGACCATCCTGGTCAACATGGTGAAACTCCGTCTCTACTAAAAATACAAAAAATTAGCTGGGCATGGTGGCTCGTGCCTGTAATCCGAGCTACTCAGGAGGCTGAGGCAGGAGAATTGCCTGAACCCAGGAGGCGGAGGTTGCGGTGAGCCGAGATCGCGCCATTGCACTCCAGCCTGGGTAACAAGAGTGAAACTCCGTCTCAAAAAAAAAAAAAAAAAAAAAAAAAAAAAAGATTTCCAGGCACCGGGCAGCAAGCCGGGCCTGCCCCAGCCATGCTGAGCACTGCACCTGTTTTTGCTGAAGGGGTCTCTTTTGTGAGGGCTCTAGGCAGGACTGAGCAAGGCTCATGGGAATCACGGGAGTCGGTGAACTCTCCACATGGCTGTGTGGGCCCTGGCCGCCTCTGCAGGAGTGACTGTCCATCACGGAGCGTTGGGAGAAGTGTCTGGGTGCTGCGGATGGGACTCGTGTTGGAGGCACCGAGTCAGACCCACGCCAGGCCTCACTTGGCAGGCTGCTCTCCTCGGCAGTGCTGTCCGTTATCTGTGACGTGAGAAGAGTGGTCTTCATCACAGTAGCCAGCGCTTTCCTGCGCTCTTGACACAAGTGATGTTCTCTCTTTTTCTTTCTCTTTGTTGTGTGTGTGTGTGTGTGTGTGTGTGTGTGTGTGTGAGTGAGGTGGAGTCTCACTCTGTCGCCGAGGCTGGAGTGCAGTGGCGCAATCTTGGCTCACTGCAACCTCTGCCTCCCGGGTTCAGGTGACTTTCCTGCCTCAGCCTCTTGAGTAACTGGAATTACAGGCATGCGCCCCCACACCTGGCTAATCTTTTTTTTTTTTTTTTTTTTTTTTTTGAGGCGGAGTTTTGCTCTTGTTACCCAGGCTGGAGTGCAATGGTGCGATCTCGGCTCACTGCAACCTCTGCCTCCTGGGTTCAGGCAATTCTCTTGCCTCAGCCTCCTGAGTAGCTGGGATTACAGGCACGTGCCACCATGCCCAGCTAATTTTTTGTATTTTTAGTAGAGACGAGGTTTCACCATGTTAACCAGGATGGTCTCGATCTCTTGACTTTGTGATCCACCCGCCTCGGCCTCCCAAAGTGCTGGGATTACAGGCATGAGCCACCGCGCCCAGCCCCTGGCTAATCTTTGTATTTTTAGCAGAGATGGGGGTTCACCACATTGGCCAGGCAGATCTTGGACTCCTGACCTCAAGTGATCCGTTTGCCTTGGCCTCCCAAAGTGCTGGGGATTTCAGGCATGAGCCACCGCGCCTGGCCAGCCGAGGTACTCTTGTCAGTGCTCTTTAGCCTCGGAGCCGCTGTCATTTCCCCTCCCTACACTGCAGGGCGAGGGCTCGCTGGGTGAGGTTAGGGCAGGCCCGATGCTGTTGCCTCATTGAGGCACCTCCCCCATCCATGTGAGGCAGGAGAGGCAGGCATTACTGTCGACTTGAAAAGCCACATGAGACCCTGAGTCAAGAAAGGTGAAGTAGAGCCAAGTCCTTTCAGTCCGAGTCTGGCCCAGAGGCAGCTCTCACTGTTTGCCGCCCTTGGCTGTCCTCCCCGGGCTGTATGTGGAGTATCAGTGGTGGCATCAGCAGGGAGTGGTGCCCAGTGAAAAGGAGTGTTAAGAGGCAGCAGGTGTCAGGTGTGGTGGCTCACGCCTGTAATCTCAACACTTCGGAAGGCTGAGGCAGGAGGATTACTTGAGCCTAGGAGTTCAATACCAGTGTGGGCAACATGGCGAGATCCCCCCATCTCTAAAAAATGAAAAAATTAGCCAGGTGTGGTGGTGTGCACCTGTAGTCCCAGCTACTCGGGAGGCTGAGTGGGAGGACTGCTTGAACCTGGGAGGCGGAGGTTGCAGTGAGCCGAGATCACTCCATTGCACTCCAGCCTGGGTGACAGTGACACTCCATCACAAAACTAAAAAGAAAAGAGGTGGCAGGTGTCAAGCAAGATCAGCAGTTCCCACTGGACTTGGAGTGTCCTGGTGCAAATCAGCTGGTGAGTCTGCATTTTCTTTTTCTTTGAGACGGGATCTCACTGTCACCCAAGACGAAGTGCAGTGGCGTGATCTCGGCTCACTGCAGCTTCTGTCTCTTAGGATCAAGTGATTCTCTCACCTCAGCTTTCTGAGTAGCTGAGACCACAGGTGCCCGCCACCATGCCCGGCTAATTTTTGTGTATTTTTAGTAGAGATGGGGTTTCACCATTTTGCCCAGGCTGGTCTCAAACTCCTGAGATCAAGCGATCCACCTGCCTCAGCCTTCCAAAATGCCGAGATTATAGGCACGAGCCACTGTCCCTGGCAAGGTTGTACTTTTAGCACCCTCCCCTGCCCCTGCCCAGTCCTTCTCACATGGGTGGTCCCAGTACCACATTCCGAGAAAGCCTGATTCCAAGATCCTGTTTCAGTGCCTTGGACCTTCTTTGACCCTCTACAAGGCCTCCCTTTCCCTCTTCAACCAGAGCATCTCCTGTTTCTGTTACATATTCGGCACAGCCACTTTTTTTTTTTTTTTTTTGAGATGGAGTTTCGCTCTCGTTACCCAGGCTGGAGTGCAATGGCGTGATCTCGGCTCACTGCAACCTCCGCCTCCTGAGTTCAGGCAATTCTCCTGCCTCAGCCTCCCGAGTAGCTGGGACTACAGGCATGTACCACCATGCCCAGCTAATTTTTGTATTTTTAGTAGAGACGGGGTTTCACCATGTTGACCAGGATGGTCTGGATCTCTTGACCTTGTGATCCACCCGTCTCGGCCTCCCAAAGTGCTGGGATTACAGGCGTGAGCCACCGCGCCCAGCCAGCACAGCCACATTTTATATGGATTTGTATCATGTCCATTCAAAAGCATGTGTCAGAAAATACCAGAAAACCTGTATTAAAGGTGAGTGTTGAAGTGATGCTAAACACCTTCAACTCTAAAATGTCAACACATGGGCCGGGCACAGTGGCTCACGTCTATAATCGCAGCATTTTGGGAGGCTGCAGCGGGTGGATCAGTTGAGGTCAGAAGTTTGAGACAAGCCTGACCCACATGGCGAAACCCCGTCTCTACTAAAAATACAAAAATTAGCTGGGCGTGGTGGCACGCACCTGTACTCCCAGCTACTTGGGAGGCTGAGGCAGGAGAATTGCCTGAACCCAGGAGGTTGAGGTTGCAGTGAGCCAAAATTGTGCCACTGCACTCCAGCCTGTGCGACAGAGCAAAACTCCATTTTAAAAATAATAAGATGTCAACAAGTGCATGGCTCACATCTGTAATTCTAGCACTTTGGGAGGCCCAGGTGGGGGAATTGCTTGAAGTCAGGAGTTTGAGACTAGCCAGGGCAACATAGCAAGAGTCCCCCATCTCTCAAAAAAACAAAAACAAAAACAAAAAACCATCATTTCAGGGCTGATTGTCCAAACAGTACTGAACTGTTTATGTTGGTGTCTCATGGTGCACCGCCTTAGCTGAGAAACAGCTAAAGCACTCCCCACTTTCCTTCTCAGGCTGAATCTTGAATTCTGTGTAAATTTTGCATCATTTCAACTCCCTATTCTGCCACTTAATAGTTGTATGGTGTGGAACCAGTTATGGGAGCACAACTGGGGAGGATGAGTCGTCCTGCTTCATAGGGTTGTTGTGGGGATTGAGTTACTCTCTGCAGACACACAGTGTTATCTTCATATTGGTGACTGTTCTTCAGGGAAGATGTACATCCATTGCACAAAAGCTAACCACTGGCCTGGCACAGTGGCTCAAGCCTGTGATCCCAGTGCTTTGGGTGGCTGAGGTGTGTGGATCACTTGAGCCCAGGAGTTCAAGACCAGCCTGGCCAACGTGGTGAAACCCCACCTCTACTAAAAATACAAAAATTGGCCGGGCGCAGTGGCTCACGCCTGTAATCCCAGCACTTTGGGAGGCCGAGGCGGGTGGATCACGAGGTCGACAGATCGAGACCATCCTGGTCAAAATGTTGAAACCCCGTCTCTACTAAAAATATAAAACATTAGCTGGGCATGGTGGCTCGTGCCTGTAATCCCAGTTACTTAGGAGGCTGAGGCAGGAGAATTGCCTGAACCCAGGAGACGGAGGTTGCAGTGAGCCGAGATCGCGCCATTGCACTCCAGCCTGGGTAACAAGAGCGAAACTCCATCTCAAAAAAAAAAAAAACAAAAAAAACAAAACAAAAAAAAAACCCAAAAATTAGCTGGGTGTGATGGTGCTGTGGTCCCAGCCACTTGGGAGGCTGAGGCACGAGAACTGCTTGAACCTGGAAGGTGGAGGTTGCAGTGAGCTGAGATGGCACCACTGCACTCCAGCCTGGGTGGCAGAGCCAGACTCTGTCTCAGAAAAAAAAAAAAAAAAGGTAACTGCTATGCTATGTGATCCCCATAACATTTGCATCTAAAGACAGGGTTCTGTGGTAAAGAAAGGGTTTGGAAAGCACTGTGCTAGAAAGCTCCTCTGAATAACATTCCCTGTCTGAGTACTTGCAGCATTGATCCACAGCACTACCCCTAAGGTGTGAATGTGAGCATTGCCCTCCTACCCAGGCAGTCAAAGAGCTTGTCTGAGGGCAGTCACAAAGCCCCTCGTGTCTAACTCAGGAGGCAGAGTCACCGTCACCTGGAGCGGATCCCTTTGATGGAGAGGTAGGTGTTCACCAGAGGTTTTGTTTGAAGAAAGGGTTTTTTGTTTTGTTTTTGTTTTGTTTTTTTTCTGGTAGAGATGAGGTTTCACCATGTTGGCCAGGCTGCTCTCAAACTCCTGACCTCAGGTGATCCACTCACCTCGGCCTCCCAAAGTGCTGGGATTACAGGTGTGAGCCACTGCACCTGGCCTGAAGAAAAGGTTTTACTGCCCTGCGTGGATTAGAGTACTTCTTCTCTGGTCCAGAAGTTGTAAATTAGTGGTCTGTGCTGTTATTTGGTTCAAAATTATGCTTTTTTTTTTTTTTGAGACAGGGTCTTGCTCTGTAACCCAGATTGGAGTGCAGTGGCACCTCTCAGCTCCCTACAGTCTTGAACTTTGGGGCTGAAGCAGTCCTCTGCCTCAGCCTCCCAAGTAGCTGGAACCACAGGCACACATCACCATCCCTGGCTAATGTTTTGATTTTTTTTTTTTTTTTTTTTTTTTTTGTAGAGACAAGGTCTCACCATATTGCCCAGGCTGTTCTCCAACTCCTGGGCTCAAGCAATCCTCCTCCATCGGCTTCCCAAAATGCAAGGATTACAGGCATGAGCCACCATGTGCGGCCATAGTGATGATTTATGGTCAGAATATTTATTTTGGTTTATTTTTTGAGACAGAGTCTCACTCTGTCGCTCAGGCTGGAGTGCAGTGGCACAGTCTCAGCTTACTGCAACCTCTGCCTCCCAGGTTCAAACAATTCTCCTGCTTCAGCCTCCTGAGTAACTGAGACTACAGGCACATGCCACTACACCCAGCTAATTTTTTGTATTTTTAGTAGAGATGGGATTTCACCATGTTAGCCAGGCTGGTCTCGATCTCCTGACCTTGTGATCTGCGTGCCTTGGCCTCCCAAAGTGCTGGGATTACAGGTGTGAGCCATCTCATCTGGCAGAATATTTATTTCCTAGTTGTGAATTAGTAGCCTGTACTTTTTTTTTTTTTTTTTTTTTTTTTTTTTTTTGAGACAGAGTTTCGCTCTTGTTACCCAGGCTGGAGTGCAATGGCGCAATCTCGGCTCACCGCAACCTCCGCTTCCTGGGTTCAGGCAACTCTCCTGCCTCAGCCTCCTGAGTAGCTGGGATTACAGGCACATGCCACCATGCTCAGCTAACTTTTTAGATTTTTAGTAGAGATGGGGTTTCACCGTGTTGACCAGGATGGTCTCGATCTCTTGACCTTGTGATCCACCCGCCTCCGCCTCCCAAAGTGCTGGGAATTTGGGTGGCTTGAGCCACCGCGCTTGGCCAGTAGCCTGTACTTTTATTGGCTACATAATGATGATATATAAAAGGTAATTGAGTTAGCTGAAAACACTTAAAGACCAGATAGTGTCTCACTAAGAGAAAGAAAGAAAAAGGCTAGATTTTTGCTTTCTTTTGAAAAACCAGATTGTCTGGCCTTGCTGGGCAGAGTCACTCAGTCTGAACATCAGTCTCCCTCTTAAGACAAGCCTGAGCTTTCCTGTCTGCATGCTGGCATGCCACGGGTCACCCACAGGGCTGGTCTGACCCCCTGCACTGCCCACTTGGCTAACCATTGCCTTCTCCCCTCCTAGGTGTGCTGATGTATCGGGACTACCCCCTGGAACTATTCATGGCCCAGTGCTATGGCAACATCAATGACTTGGGCAAGGGGCGTCAGATGCCCGTCCACTACGGCTGCAAGGAGCGTCACTTCGTCACTATCTCCTCTACACTGGCCACGCAGATCCCGCAAGGTGAGGAAGCATGCCCTGGGCCTAGCACATATGCAGACCAGTGTCACACCGCTGTCCAGGCCTCAGCCCTCCTACCTCCCTTCTGAGTAGAATTCTGGGTTGGTACCACCACCAGAGCCCTGGTTTATGTTCCAGATTTTTTTTTTTTTTTTTTTGAGATGGAGTCTCTCTCTGATGCCCAGGCTGAAGCGCAATGGCATAACCTTGCCTCACTGCAACCTCCGCCTCCCGGGTTCAAGTGATTCTTCTGCCTCAGCCTCCTGAGTAGCTGGGATTATGGGCATGTACCACCATGCCCAGCTAATTTTTAGTAGAGACGGGGTTTCTCCATGTTGGCCAGGCTGGTCTCAAACTCACGACCTCAAATCATCTACCCACCTCGGCCTCCCAAAGTGTTGGAATTACAGCATGAGCCACTGCGCCCAGCATTTCTTTTGTTTTGTCTGTTTGTTTTTTTTTAATGAAGATGGGGTTTCACCATGATGGCCAGGCTGGTCTTGAACTCCTGACCTCAGGTGATCCACCCACCTTGGCCTCCCAAAGTGCTAGGATTACAGGTGTGAGCCACTGCGCCCAGCTTTTTTTTTTTTTTTTTAAAGACAGACTCTTGCTCTGTCGCTCAGGCTGGAGTGCAGTAGTATGATCTTGGCCACTGCAACCTCTGCCTCCCAGGTTCAAGCGATTCTCATGCCTTAATCTCCTGATTAGCTGAGACTACAGGTATGCACCACTATGCCCAGCTAATTTTTGTATGTTTCATTGAGGCAAGGTTTCACCATGTTGGCCAGGCTGGTGTGAAACTCTCAACTGCAGGTGATCCACCTGCCTCAGCCTCCCAAAGTGCTAGGATTACAGGCATGAGCCACTGCACCCAGCCCACTTTTTTTTTTTTTTGTCTGAGTCAGGCTTTCACTCTCTTCAGTCAGATTGGAGTAAAATGGTGCAATCTCTGCTCACTGTAACCACCTCCTGGGCTCAAGTGATTCTCCTGCCTTAGCCACCTAAGTAGCTGGGATTTTGGGCATATGCCACTACTCCTGGCTAATTTTTTGTATTTTTTGTAGAGACAGGCTTTTCCTACGTTGGCCAGGCTGGTCTTGAACTCCTGAGATCAAGTGATCTGTCGGCCTTGGCCTCTCAAAATGCTGGGATTCCAGGCATGAACCACTGCACCAGCCTGTGCTCCAGATTTTGAATGCACCTCTTGTCTGGGACCCTTTGGATGAGGGCTCTAGTGCTATCGCCACCACATTCAGGGGCCTGTGTGACCACACTGGGTTTCTCAAACACGTGCCCACTGCATTTATTTGCTCACAAACCTAGCCCACATGTTCCTGAGTGTTGCAAGGAGTGCCACTCCTAGCACAGTTGGCACCAAGTTCCACTGTGCCGATGCTTCACGTTCATTGTCTGATAGCACCCTCCTTGTGGCCTTGGGAGCAGAGGTTATTATTTGCTCTTTTTCGTGTTTTAAAGAGCAGGAGGTCCATGTCCTATGTGTGAGAGAGCGAGCAAGCGAGTGAGGAGAAAAAAAAAAAAAAGTGCGGGAAGCCTGACCAACATTGCAAAGCCCTGTCCCTTCTAAAAATAAAAAAATTAGCTGGGTGTGGTGGTGCACACCTGTAATCCTAGCTACTTGGAGGCTGAAGCAGGAGCATCACTTGAACTTGGGAGGCAGAGGCTGCAGTGAGCTGAGATCGTGCTGTTGCACTCTAGCCAGAGTGAGACCCTGTCTCAAAAAAAAAAAAAAAAAGAAAAAAAGGGAAATTGAAGTGAAAGAGGGAAGTCACTCGCTAACGGTTACATGGCACAGAGGGAGAGGGGCAGGGACTCAAGTCATGGGCTGTTTGCCTCCAGAGCCTGGGTTCTTGGCCCTGATGTTTGTCTGCCTCAGTCCTCAGAGTCAAGCAAGCTTCCTTAAAGCTTACCGTAGGTCCCCTGAAGCCTCTTTTCTCATAAGGGGTTTGTTTGGAAAGCAAACCCACTGGGTACCAGGTCTGCACCCTCATAGCATGGAGACTAAGGAATCAGAACCCCTTCCTGCCCTCTGGGGCCTGTAGCCTGACGGAGGGTCGGTCTGGACTCTGGCTTCTCTGCCCTAGGGTAGCCGAGATCACAAGTCTGTGTGTCTCCAGGCCTCAGCACTGTGCCTGGCACTGCAGAGGGCTCTGCACCCCTTAGCTTAATATTCTATTGGGGAACAAGAAGCAGTTCAAGCCTTTTAGGTGGGACGTGGGCAGGGAAGCTTTCTCAGAGGCGGGGGCAATTCAGCTAAAGGTAATAGGGTTTCCACAAGGCTGAGGCCTGGTCCTAACCTTCTGTCTGGGCCTCTGCTAAGTCCCTTCAAATGTATAAAGTTCTTGCCCTGCGCTGGTGCCACTCTTAAGTGCAGGGAACAAAAGTAATGCAAACCTGCTGCCATTGTTGGGGGGGAGACGGACAGTAACAAAGATGGAGAGGGAGCAGCCAAGCCAGCAGGGTGTGGTGGACTGTGGGGGTGGCTGGGGCCCATCACTAGAGTGACACTGAAGTGTGGAGCAGAGGGAGTGAGGGAGGGAGCCGTGTGGTGTCCTGAGGCAGGTGTGTGCCTGGCATGTTTGAGGGCAGGGAGGAGCCCACGGGGGCAGGTGTGGGGCGAGCAGATGTGGGGTGGTTGGAGGTAAAGTCCAGGAGGTGGTGGGAGGGGCGCAGACTCGGTGGGGCCTCAAGGCCTTTGCCTTTTGCAGGAACGTTTACTTGTACTTAGGGTGGGAAGGAGTCTGTTCCTCCTTGGCCTGGCTCACCTGTTCATGGAGTCAGCAATCTGCCCTGTGGGTAACGGACTGGGCAGCGTGTGGAGGGCCAGTAAGGTGGCTGCTCGGTAACTTGGGCCCAAGCAGGGTGCTGCTGCAGAGAAGGAGGTGAGAGGGGTCAGGTTCTGAAGGCGGAGGAGATGTGGGGAATGGGGGGAGGTTTGGCTTGGAGGTGATGCTGGAGTCTTTGGCTGGAGCTGTTGGAAGGGTGGAGCTGCTCTCAGCGAGTGGGAGGAGACCTGGGCAGATGCTGGGGGGCACCAGGAGCTCAGGTGTTTTCTTTCCCCTGGAAGCCTAGTGCCTGCTGGCTGAGCTGCAGAGTCCGGGGTCACGTGAGTGTGAACGAGTGAGTCTCTGCCCCGCTCACCACCCTCATCCTCTGCAGCGGTAGGGGCGGCCTATGCAGCCAAGCGGGCCAACGCCAACAGGGTCGTCATCTGTTACTTCGGCGAGGGGGCGGCCAGTGAGGGGGATGCCCACGCCGGCTTCAACTTCGCTGCCACACTCGAGTGCCCTATCATCTTCTTCTGCCGGAACAACGGCTACGCCATCTCCACACCGACCTCCGAGCAGTACCGTGGCGATGGCATTGGTATGGGCTCTACGGCCAATCCCCACCCGGCCGGGATCATCTCCTTCCCTCCCTTCATTTCCTCACCTTCCTGCTACCCCTGCCCTCCTTCCTGGTTCTGGTCCTGTGTCCTGTGGCGTCTGGCACCTTGTTGTCCCCGGAGTCGAGGTCCCGAGCCCTCTGCCTTGCTCTCTCCTGCCTTCTCCCTGCTCGTCCCCTTGGCCCCCTGCATGTTCCTCATCTGAACCCTGCCCTGACCTGCCTTCTCTGTGTCCCCACAGCAGCACGAGGCCCCGGGTATGGCATCCTGTCAATCCGCGTGGACGGCAATGATGTGTTTGCTGTGTACAACGCCACAAAGGAGGCCCGACGGCGGGCTGTGGCAGAGAACCAGCCATTCCTCATCGAGGCCATGACCTACAGGTGCCCACCCGCACCCTCCCCGCCCACCCTGTCACCACCCCTACAGCACTGGCAGCCACCATAGCATCTTCTGCATATCGATCACCGTCCCCAAAACATGGCCTCATCACCTCGTGTTGCATCTTCCCCTTGCCTTTATTCTGTTTCCACTCCTCCCTCCTGACCCCCACTCCAGGGAGCCCCACACTGACCTGGGGCCCCTGCCCTTGTGCAGGATCGGGCACCACAGCACCAGTGACGACAGTTCAGCGTACCGCTCGGTGGACGAGGTCAACTACTGGGACAAGCAGGACCACCCCATCTCCCGGCTGCGGCACTACCTGCTGAGCCGAGGCTGGTGGGATGAGGAGCAGGAGAAGGCCTGGAGGAAGCAGTCCCGCAAGAAGGTGAGGGCGCCCCTCCTGGGGATGTGTGCCGGGGGTGCTGCAGCCTGCAGAGCTCAGAAAGGATTTGCAGGGCACCGAACTGGAGGCTCAGGGATGACCCGGGTGATGTCTCAGATGCGGCCTGTGGAGCCAGGCTGCTGGGGCCACATGTGTGCTGGCTCTGTGTCTTTGGCACGTTGTCCTCCATTTCTTTGTCCTTGAAGGAGGATGCTGGTGGTGCCCATTTCAGAAACTGATTTGAGACTGGGCGTGGTGGCTCACTCCTGTAATCCCAGCACTTTGGGAGGCCAAGGCAGGCAGATCACTTGAGGTCGGGAGACCAGCCTGGCCAACATGGTGAAACCGCATCTCTACTAAAAATATTAAATTAGGGCTGGGTGTGGTGGCTCATGCCTGTAATCTTAGTATTTTGGGAGGCCAAGGCAGGTGGATCACCTGAGGTCAGGAGTTTGAGACCAGCCTGGCCAACATGGTGAAACCTTGTCTCTAATAAAAACAAAAATCAGCTGGGCGCGGTGTAGGGTGCCTGTAGTCCCTGCTGCTCCAGAGGCTGAAGCATGAAAATCCCTTGAATTTGGGAGGCAGAGCTTACAGTGATCCTAGATGGCACCACTGTACTCCAGCCTGGGCAACACAAGGATACTATCTTTTTTTTTTAAAAAAAAAAAAAGCTGTTTTGAGGAGTAGGTGGTGACCCATGTGCAGTCTGCGTGCCCTGCCCAGAGTCAAGTGTGCCGCCCTCCCTGGCCTGGTCATTAGGAGCCGGGGTTGTGCAGCCCACTGGTGAGGGCAGCACCGCACATCCTGGCTCTGTCCCTAACTGTATAATGGTGGGCAAGTCCCTGCCTTTCTTGTGCCTCAGTTTCCTCATTGCTCAGCTGTCTATCTCTTAGGGCTGCTGCAAGCCTTAAATGAATCCACACTGATCCCTGCTGGAATTTGGGAGTGTTTTACACCTCTGCTAGAATGATCATGGCCTCTGTCCAGGTGGGAACACAAAGGCTGGAAGCAGTTAACTCCTTGCCAACGCCCTGCAGGAGAAGGCAGGGCCCTGTGTGGGAGGCCGGCCACTTGCCCACCGCCCCATGTCTCCACAGGTGATGGAGGCCTTTGAGCAGGCTGAGCGGAAGCCCAAGCCCAACCCCAACCTGCTCTTCTCAGACGTGTATCAGGAGATGCCCAGCCGCCTCCGCAAGCAGCAGGAGTCCCTGGCCCGCCACCTGCAGACCTACGGGGAACACTACCCACTGGAGCACTTCGATAAGTGAGGCCTGTTCAACCCAAACCCACCCGCCTCCAGCTATGCCCAGAGCTCCCCACTCTAAGGGGAGCAGGGGGACCTGGCAGGACATCACCCCTTTCCCCAGCCAGCTCCCTCTGTAATACTCAGGGGCCTGGGCGGCTGCTGCTCCCCACCCCTGCGCCTCTAGGCTGTTACATTGTTGGGGGACAGTATCTGCAGCAGTTGCTGAGGCTCCGTCAACCCCCTCTTCACCCGTTGCAGTGCCTTCTCCCAGGGGCTGGGTGACGGCGTGTCCTGGACTAGAAGCCCCTCTGGGCATGGGGTGGACATGGCAGGCCAGCCTGTGGAACTTATGCAGGTGCGAGTAGCCAGCAGAGGTTATGAATAAAGCGTATCTCTGGGTCTGGCTCTCTACTACCTCTGGTCTCTGTTTTCTGGAGTTTGGGGGTGATTTGGGGCCACCCCCAGCTTCTCCACCTTAGATAAATAAGGTGAAGGCCCTTGAGATATCTACTTCCCCAGGAAGTTTGTGCAAGCTGGAAGGTTAGCTCCAGCAGACAGGATGGGGGCAGGGGGGTCCTCCAGAGATGGTCTCCTGCCCTCTCACAGGATGGGGCAAGCCTGCTGTCCAGCAGCGTGACAGGGAGCCCAGCCCTGCAAGGGTAAAGGTCAGGGTGTGGCCAAGCTCTGCTCCCCACCACTCCAGGGCCCCAGAGATGCAAAAACAACCCCAGGCCTCAGAGTGGGGAGTGCATATTTTTCAAAAACAAAAAGTAGGCACAAACGGTTTGCCGCCCCATCTTTCCTGCCCAGGCCCCTGGCAGGGGAGGCCCAGAAGTGGCTGAAATTGTCCAGATTCTAGGCCCTTCTCCCTCTCAGCAAGACTTGAAAGGAGGGGCAGAGCAAGCAGGTCGGTACCCTACCCTCCCCAGTGCTAACTCAGAGTTAGCACTGGAGCTGCGGGGCTTGCAGTTGTTTCCAGAGCCGAATGCTGGCCTGGGGGCCCAGGGGCCGGACCAGCAGCAGGCTGCGGAAAGCACAGTGGTCCGCCGTGCGGTCTGCTGGCCAGGCTGTGAGGAAGCCTGGGTGGGCCTGGGGCACCAGGCCCAGGGCACGGATGCAAAGGCCAGTGTAGACGTCCTCAAAGGGGAAGGGTGCCACACGGGCTGCTGCCCGCAGCAGCCAGGGTGCCAGGCGCCCGGCAATGACATAGCCACCTCCGCTTGCATAGGCTGGGTAGCCACCTTCAAAGAAGGACCCGGGCACGTAGAAGAGTCCTCCCGGCTTCCGGAGGGGCATGGCCTGGGTAAAGACCTCACCCAGATAGAGGCTTTGTGCCGAGGCGGGTGGCAGGGCCCGAAGGTGAGCCAGCAGGGCAGGGGTGTGCACGAAGACATCATCCTGAGCTTGCAGGACGAAACTCACCGCGGGGCAGTGGCGGCCCAGCCACGCCAGCAGCAGCAGATCTTTGAGTGTCTGGTTGAATGGGACGTCGAGGAAGTCCCAGATCAGCAGGTCACTGTAGCGACGGCTCTCCCAGGCCACCAGTGAGTCCAGGTCAGGCCCCGCCTCACCCACCGGAGACCCCAGCAGGAAGAGAAGCCGGATCCCAGGAGCTGGACTGCCCCACGTCTCCCTCACAGCCTGTCGTTCTGCAAAGCGCCCTGGCTCTGACTTCACGGCCAACAGCAGGTAGGGGACATTGGCATCCGAGCAGCTGGACACTTGGCCGCCACCACCTCCAGGCAGCCACTGTGGGAAGCTCCGGCAGGCTGCTGACAGCAGGAAGCGGCGGAGGTCCTTGGGGTAGGAGGCGAAGTCGGGGATCTCGGCGGCAGCGGCAGCCCCCCAAGCCTGGCAGCCCCCCGCCTCAGTGCCGTCCCCACTGGGCAGGGACCCCAGCCGCCACTGCTGCTGGTTCCAGTAAGCGGAGGGCAGTGGGCCAGTCTGGCCCAGGCGGGCGGAGAGATTGGCAGGCAGGGTGGGCTCAGGGTTAGCTGGCGTGGGGCCTGGTGGGGTGCCCCGAGGGCTGGGGTAGGCCTTGCTGAGCCGGGACTCAGATGTCCACTCGATGTACACTTTGAGGCCCAGGAGTGTGAGCAGTGCTGACAGGCAGAGAAGACACTTGGGGCAGCGCATGACCCGGCCCAGAGAAGGGGTGGCCGCGGGAGCTACAAAGGAGCAACAGGGGAGGCCTTTGGGGTATGGGGATGGGTCTCCAGAGAGGCCCCAGCCAGACAGAGTCAGTCTCCCACAGTCCTCAACAACCCCCAGAACAGCTTCTCTCAGTCCTAGACCCTCAACAGCTCCCTTGACCCAGGAACCCTGTTTTTTATTCCTAGACCTAGGAATCCCCATTCCAGTCCCATTCCAGCACGCTGTTCTTCCCACTCTGTCCAATCCTTCCATCTTCCTAAGAGCCCAGGGGTCTACCTCTTCCCTGTCTCCATCCCAGGGACCCAGCCATCTGTCTCCTCCCTCTCCCTCCACTTATCGCCCTCACCAGGAAATCAGGAGCATGCTCGACAGGCTTAGAAACCCAGCCTGCCTCCTGCACCATCCCCACCCTAGGGACTGGGAAACCAGTGATCCCGCGCCTCTTTACCTCTGGGTCCAGCTCCCACCAGCTCCGGGTGCCGGGCCTCAGGTCAGGCCTCCCTCTGTCTCTCAGATGGCCTGCCCCAGCCCCTGCGTAATCGGCTGCCTGGCCCAGCCCTGCCCCGCCAGTCCAGAGGAGCCGGGAGGGGAGCGGAGCAGCGCGGGAGCAGGGAGGGCCCCAGGGGCTGGGGCGGGGCCGAGGCGGGAGGGAGGGAGGAGGGCAGGAGGCCGACCAGAGATGGGGCTCTGGCGTGTTAGGGCTGGTTTCTGGTGAGACATCTGGGAAGGGTGTAGGGGACAGCCACAGAAACCAGACGGGGGGCCTAGTGAGGCCTGGGAAGGGAGAACCAGGCCTGGGGAGGGAGGGAGTGTCAGGGAGGGTGCGGCTGAGGGCTGGGCCTGGGCTGGGGAGTGTCAGAGTGACCCGGGCAAGGCAGGGTCCCTCTGAAGCAGAGAAGGGGAGGCTGAGAAGTTGGCGCCCAGCCACGCCCATGGCAAGGAGGCGGCAGTGAATGTGCTGAGTGGGAAGCGATTGGCAGGCCTGCCAGAGAGGGATGTTTGTTGTTGCTGCCCAGTCAGGGTGAGGTGGGGGGAAGGGGGCTGGTGAGGAGGAGGAAAGACATTGTGGAGAGGGAAGATGGCCAGGAACAGAGAGAGGGGAGCTGGGGTGAGACAGGTGATGGAGAGAGCTGAGGGGGAGAGACAAAGAAGGGAAAATGGGAAGGGGGCCAGGAGGGAGGGGAGGAGGGAAATGGAGGTGGTGAGAAAGATAAGGGGTGGCAGAAGCCCTGTGGGGTGCTAGCTGGGAAAGTGAAGTTGAGAGAGGCAGGTGGAGGGCAGAGGGGAGGGACTCCGAGGCTTCGCAGCCAGACCCAGGGGGAGGTGGAGAGGAAGCCAGGAGGAGGAAGAAGAGAGGAAAGGATTAGAGCGCCATGGACAATAGAGGGTGACGGGGTGGGGCACGCAGGGAACCCCCGGAGCTGACCCCCTACACTTCTTCCATCCCTCTCAGCACCTGTGCTGCTGCCCAACAGGGTGGGTATCTGTTCCTACCCTACCCCCAACCTGCAGCCCTGGAGCCAGCCTCGCCCCTCCCCCAGTGGCATGCACTCACATCCGGCCCCCTGGGGCAGGAGAGGGTGTCTGCCAGTGTTTGCATCCCTGCCCTCGCCCCTGCTGTTGGGGCTGCATCAGCTGTCTGGAGACCTCCCAGGACTTGGGGTAGGACTAAGGGCCTCCCACTAAGCCTGGGCCCCTTTACCCAACCCTGGTTTGGGGTGGGCCTGTCCCCATTATGGCAGGAACCCAGTCTACCAGCAGCAGCAGTTGATGATCTGTCCAGCCCTGATTTCCTCCCCACAAGTTTGAATAATGGAGCTCCTAGGAACAGCTAAAGGAAGGGAGTGGGGAGGAAGTGGTGAATACTAATGGAATAATAGCCGGAGTGGGAAATGACAGCTAGGGGCTGGGGGCAGGGGCCAGAGCACCTCCTGAGGGAGTCTGCAAGCCCAGCTCACCCTAGGGCTGAGAGAGAGGGATTCCAGGCCCCCTGAGCTCATCTGGCTTTGGGGGTGGGGGGTGCTGCTCCTCCTGGAAGCACTGGGAAGCTTCAGAGGGTGCTGTTCTTTTTGTCTTTGCCATGTGCCTCAGTTGGGGTCCAATCAGGAGATCGAAACCACACAGGAATGGGAATAGGACAAGTTCAACATACAGGATGATTAACTATCATGGGATTGGCCGGTAAGGGATGCCTTCTTGGGGAACGTGGTTGGAGGGTAGACATGCAAGTTGACCACAATTATTCCAATCCGGCACTTCCGTCTCCCTAAACCTTGTGACTCCCCTCATCCATCGTATGCTAGGGCAGTTCCAGTCTCTCTGCCTCATTACCTTTAGGCCACTGTTGGATCCAAGCTCCAGTCAGGCAACCAAGCAAGCTATTAGAACCAAGTCCAGCTGCACAAGGTAACCCATGAAACCCAGAAGCTCTAGAAAGTGCACTCATACCAGGAAATTTGGCCTAAGCTAATATTACGTCTACCCTCATTGGTGTAACACCCTTGAAATCTGCTGCACGCATTCCCCAAGCTCCTGACTCTGTATCTGTGAAGCCGTCATTCTCAGTGTAAAAGCTGCACCCACTTGAGTCGTAGCCAGCACCTGGCCCTCAGGAGCAAGCTGATTTGACTCTAGGTATTTATGGGTCTAGAGGCAGCAGGGGGTGCTTGTGGCGAGTCTTAAGAAGAATGGGCTGCATCTGTTATTTCTGTGTAACTGCTGGCCCTGAGAGAAAAAAAACATAGGATGGGACACTGTGGCTCACTCCTGTAATCCCAGTACTCTGGGAGGCCAAGGGGGAGGATCACTTGAGGAGTTTGAGACCAGCCTCAGCAACATAGTCAGATCTTATCTCTAAAATAAAGCAAAAAGTCTGGGCATGGTAGCCCACACCTGTAATCCCAGCATTTTGGGATGCCAAGGCAGGCGGATCACCTGAGGTCAGGAGTTCGAGACCAGCCTGTCCAAAATGGTGAAACCTGTCTCTACTAAAAAATACAAAAATTAGCTGGGTGCGGTGGCAGGGGCCTGTAGTCCCACCTACTCGGGAGGCTAAGGCAGGAGAATCGCTTAAACCTCGGAGGTGGAGGTTGAAGTGAGCCAAGATTGCGCCATTGCACTCCAGCCTGGGAGACAGAGCAAGACTGTCTCAAAAATAAAAAAACCAAAAGGATGGACAACTTTCAAGGTGTCTGCCCCTGGTGAGGTCATCACAAGGTTTCCTTTTTTTTTTTTTTTTTTTTTTTGAGACAGTCTTGTACTGTTGCCTAGGCTGGTGAGCAGTGGCACTATCTCGACTTGCTGCAACCTCCACCTCCTGGGTTCAAGTGATTCTCCTGCCTCAGCCTCCCGAGTAGCTGGGATTACAGGTGCCCACCACCATGCCCGGCTCATTTTTTCTATTTTTAGTAGAGACAGGATTTTACTATGTTGGCCAGGCTGGTTTTAAACTCCTGACCTCATGATCCACCTGCCTTGGCCTCCCAAAGTGCAAAGTGCTGGGATTATAGGCATGTGCCACTGCGCCTGGCCACATCACAAGGTTTCTAAGCACAAGAAGGCCGGTAGGTTCCTCAGACACTGGTAAGTCACTTGCTTGGAGTGACTTGGGGGTTCAAAATCACCTGTTTACTCTGGGTGCAATTAGATGACTCCATTCTAAAGAAGTAAAAACTTTTGGGCCCAGCATGGCTCATGCCTGTAATCCCAGCACTTTTGGGAGGCTGAGGTGGGCAGATCACCTGAGGCCAGGAGTTTGAGACCAGCATGGCAAACATGGCGAAACCCTGTCTCTACTAAAAATACAAAAATTTGCCTGGCATGGCTGTGTGTGCCTGCAATCCCAGCTACTCAGGAGACTGAGGCAGGAGAATCACTTGAACCTGGGAGGTGGAGGTTGCAGTGAGCCAAGAGCTCACCACTGCACTCCAGCCTGGGTGACACAGCGAGTCTCTCTCTTAAAAAAAATAAAATTAGGGGGCTGTCATGGAAGCTGTCTAGTTCTGATTGTGACTTGAGTTGAGTTAGACCCAAGCTCATCATGTCTGTGGGCACTCTGGAGAATCCATCTAATACCCTGGTCTTTAGAAGTGTCACAACTACCACAACTGTTGAGCCCAGCAGCCACAGGGGTTCCCAAGGCCCTGCCTCAGCCCTTCATCTCCGTCAACCATAGGCGCTGTGATACCACTGCATGCCAGAGGCCTCTGGCATCCTGTTTCCCATCAGCAAGAGCTCAGCGCTATGCCCAAGCCCAAAGGCACAACCAAACCAATCCTGGAATCCTACCTTAAGAGTCTATCGCGAGAATCTTCCTCCAAGATGGCTGATTAGGAGCAGCTCTGGATTGTAGCTCCCAGTGAAAGCACGGAGGGTGAGTGGACACTGCATTTCCAGACAGATTTTTATTGCCCACAGACCAGGGACTCCAGGCAGAGGAGCCCCACAGTTCACCGGTGCGGCTGTTTTGGCCGGCACAACGGGTCTCCAGACAAAATACAGGGGACCAGGCGCTGTTTTAGCTGGCAATTGGAGCGCCTGGGAGACAGAGTCACCTGTTCAACTGATAAAAAGGGGACTGAAACAGGGAGCCAGGCCAGGAGATTCCCAGCCAAAAAAGTGCCACGAATCTCCAGCATGGCTTTTTGAGCCAGCACAATGGATCGCCACTTGGGAAATCACACAGATCTGGGTGCCTTTTCAACAGGCAAGTGGAATGCCTGGGAGACAGTCACCCATTCAGCTGAAAGAAAAAAGGGGTCTGAGGCAGGGAGCCAGGTGGTCAGGCTCAGACAGTCCCACCCCCATAAAAAACAGCAATCTGAAACACTCTGGACTGAGTTTCACAGCAAGCACAGCTGAACCCGGGATGGTCCAGCTCTGCAGGGGAGGGGCACCCATTACCGAGGCAGTCCACCACTATGGAGGTAGTCCACCATTGCCAAGGTGGCCCGCCATTACAGAGGTGGACCGCCATTGCTGAGGCAGTTCTAACTATACCCCTATAAACAGGACTGCAGGGAAGTTCACACGGCAGCTGGGCGGAGCCCACAGCAGCTCAGCAAAGCCTCTGTAGGCAGACCATGACCAGGCTGCCTCCTCGCTAGGCAGGGCAGCACAACAGCAGCTTATAAATAAAGCCCTACTTTCCCGGGACAGAGCACCTGGGGGAAAAAAAAAGGCGTTTATGAGTTCTGCTGCAGCAGACTAAAACATAGAAAGGAACAACCAGTACCGGCCACTCCAAAAACATACCAAATCGTAAAAAGCATCAACACAATGAAGAAACTGCATCAACTAACGGGCAAAACAGCCAGCTAGTATCAAAATGGCAGGATCAAATTCACACGTAACATTATTAACCCTAAATGTAAATGAGCTGAATGCCCCAATCAAAAGACATAGCCTGGCAAATTGGATAAAAAGCCAAAACCCATCTGTGTGCTGTATCTATCCCATCTCACATGCAAGGATACACAAAGGCTCAAAATAAAGGGATGGAGGAAGATTTACCAAGCAAATGGAGAGCAAAAAAATGCAGGAGTTGCAATTCTCATCTCTGATAAAATAGACTTTAACAAAGATCAAAAGAGACAGAGGGCTGGGCACGGTGGCTCAAGCCTGTAATCCCAGCACTTTGGGAGGCCGAGGCGGGTGGATCACGAGGTCGAGAGATCGAGACCATCCTGGTCAACATGGTGAAACCCCGTCTCTACTAAAAATACAAAAAATTAGCTGGGCATGGTGGCGCGTGCCTGTAATCCCAGCTACTCAGGAGGCTGAGGCAGGAGAATTGCCTGAACCCAGGAGGCGGAGGTTGCGGTGAGCCGAGCTCGCGCCATTGCACTCCAGCCTGGGTAACAAGAGTGAAACTCCGTCTCAAAAAAAAAATAATAAATAAAAATAAAAGAAACAAAAGAGACAGAGAAGGGCATTACATAATGGTAAAAGGATCAATGCAACAAGAAGAGCTAATGATCCTAAATATATATGCACCCAATACAGGAGCACCCAGATATATAAGGGAAGTTCTTAATGACTTACAAAGAGACTTGGACTCGCACACAATAATAGTGGGAGACTTTAACACTCCACTGACAATATTAGACAGATCAACGAGAGAAAATTAACCAGGACATCTAGGACTTGAACTCAGACCAGGACCAAGCAAACCTAATAGACATTTACAGACCTCTCCACCCCAAATCCACAGAACATACATTCTTCTCAGCACCACATCACACCTACTCTAAAATTGACCACATAATCAGAAGTAAATCAGCCGGGCGCGGTGACTCAAGCCTGTAATCCCAGCACTTTGGGAGGCTGAGGCGGGTGGATCACGAGGTCGAGAGATCGAGACCATCCTGGTCAACATGGTGAAACCCCGTCTCTACTAAAGATACAAAAAATTAGCTGGGCATGGTGGCACGTGCCTGTAATCCCAGCTACTCAGGAGGCTGAGGCAGGAGAATTGCCTGAGCCCAGGAGGCGGAGGTTGCGGTGAGCCGAGATCGCGCCATTGCACTCCAGCCTGGGTAACAAGAGCGAAACTCCGTCTCAAAAAAAAAAAAAAAAAAAAAAAAAAAAGAAGTAAATCACTCCTCAGCAAATGCAAAAGAACAGAAATCATAGCAAACAGTCTCTCAGACCACAGTGCAATCAAGTTAGAAGTCAGAATTCAGAAACTTACTCGGAACCGCACAGCTTCATGGAAACTGAACAACTGGCTCTTGAATGTTGACTGGATAAATGAAGAAATGAAGGCAGAAATAAAGATGTTCTTCGAAACCAACGAGAACGAAGACACAATGTACCAGAATCTCTGGGACACATTTAAAGCAATGTCTAGAGGAAAATCTACAGCAATAAATGCCCACATGAGAAGCAAGGAGAGATCTAAAATCGACACTCTGTCGTCCAAATTGAAAGAGCTAGAGGAGCAAGATTAAAAAAACCTTGAAACCTAGCAGAAGACAAGATCAGAGCAGAACTGAAGGAGACAGAGACATAAAAAACCCTTCACGCCGGGCGCAGTGGCTCAAGCCTGTAATCCCAGCACTTTGGGAGGCCGAGGCGGGTGGATCACGAGGTCAAGAGATCGAGACCGTCCTGGTCAACATGGTGAAACCCCGCCTCTACTCAAAATACAAAAAATTAGCTGGGCATGGTGGCGCGTGCCTGTAATCCCAGCTACTCAGGAGGCTGAGGCAGGAGAATTGCCTGAACCCAGGAGGCGGAGGTTGTGGTGAGCTGAGATCGTGCCATTGCACTCCAGCCTGGGTAACAAGAGTGAAACTCCGTCTCAAAAAAAAAAAAAAAAAAAAAAAAAAACCTTCAAAAAAAAAATGAAATCCAGGAGCTGGTTAGATGCAATAAATAGATACAATAAATAAATAATAAAAAATAATAAATAAAAATAATAAATAGATGCAATAAAAAACAATAAAGGGGATATCACCACAGAGTCCACAGAATTACAAACCATCATCAGAGATTATTACAAACAACTCTATGCACATAAACTGGTAAACCTGGAAAAAATAAATACATTCCTGGACACCTGCATCCTCCCAAGCCTAAACCAGGAAGAATTTGAAACCCTGAATAGACCAATAACAAGGGCTGAAGTTGATGCAGCAATTAATAGCCTACCAACCAAAAAAAGCCCAGGTCCAGATGGGTTCACAGCCGAATTCTACCAGACATACAAAGAGGAGCTGGTACCATTCCTTCTGAAACTATTCCAAACAATCCAAAAAGAGGGAATCCTTCCCAAATTATTTTATGAGACCAGCATCATCCTGATACCAAAACCCAGCAGAGACTCAGCAAGAAAGGAAAACTTCAGGCCAATATCCATGATGAACATAGATGCCAAAATCTTCAATACAATACTGGCAAACTGACTACAACAGCACATCAAAAAGCTTATCCACCATGATCAAGTAGGCTTCATCCTGGGGATGCAAGGCTGGTTCAACATACGCAAGTCTATATAAACGTAATTCACCATATAAACAGAACCAAAGACAAAAACCACACGATTATCTCAATAGATGCAGGGAAGGCCTTTGACAAAATTCAACAGTGCTTTATGCTAAAAACCCTCAATAAACTAGGTATTGATGGAACATATCTCAAAATAATAAAAGCTATTTATGACAAACCAACAGCCAATATCATACTGAATGGGCAAAAACTGGAAGCATTCCCTTTGAAATCTGGCACTAGACAAGGATGCCCTCTCTCACCACTCCTATTCAATATAGTATTCTAAGTTCTAGCCAGAGCAATCAGGGAAGAAAAAGAAATAAAGGGTATTCAATTAGGAAAGGAGGAAGTCAAATTGTCTCTATTTGCAGATGACATGATTGTATATTCAGAAGACCCCATCGTCTCAGCCCAAAATCTCCTGAAACTGATAAGCAACTTCAGCAAAGTCTCAGGATATAAAATCAATGTGCAAAAATCACAGGCATTCCTATACACCAATAACAGACTTAAAGAAAGCCAAATCAAGAGCAAACTGCCATTCACAACTGCTACAAAGAGAATAAAATACCTAGGAATACAACTAACAAGGAACATAAAGGACCTCTTCAAGGAGAACTACAAATCACTGCTCAATGAAATAAGAGAGGACACAAACATGGAGAAACATTCCATGCTCATGGTTAGGAAGAATCAGTATCATGAAAATGGTCATACTGCCCAAAGTAATTTACAGATTCAACGCTATCCCCATCAAGCTACCAATGACCTTCACAGAACTGGAAAAAAACACCTTAAAATTCATATGGAACAAAATGAGAGCCTGCACAGCCAAGTCAATTCTAAGCAAAAAGAGCAAAGCTAGAGGCATCACACTACCGGACTTCAAACTGTACTACAAGGCTACAGTAATCAAAACGGCATGTACTGGTACCAAAACAGAGATATAGACCAATGGAGCAGAACAGAGGCCTCGGAGGCAACGCCACACATCTACAACCATCTGATCTTTGACAAACCTGACAAAAACAAGCAATGGAGAAAGGATTCCCTGTTTAATAAATGGTGCTGGGAAAACTGGCTAGCCATGTGCAGAAAGCAGAAATTGGACCCCTTCCTGACACCTTACACTAAAATTAACTCCAGATGGATTAAAGACTTAAACATAAGACCTTGCCCATCGATGATAGACTAGACAGGGAAAATGTGGCACATATACACCATGGAATATTATGAAGCCATCAAAAACAATGAGTTTGTGTCCTTTGTAGGGACATGAATGAACCTGGAAACCATCATTCTCAGCAAACTGACACAGCAGAAAATCAAACACCACATGTTCTCACTCACAGGCGGGTGTTGAACAATGAGAACACATGGACACGGGGAGGGGAGCACTACACACTGGGGTCTGTTGGGGGGAAATGGGGGAGGGACAGCGGGGGTTGGGGAGTTGGGGAGAGATAGCATGGGGAGAAATGCCAGATATACGTGATGGGGAGGAAGGCAGCAAACCACCCTGCCACGTGTGTACCTATGCAACAATCTTACATGTCCTTCTCATGTACCCCAAAACCTAAAATGCAATTTAAAAATATCCACGAGCTGGTTTCTTGTAAAGATCAACAAAATAGAGTTGACGGGAGAGAGCATGGGGAGAAATGCCAGATATATGTAAAGGGGAGGAAGGCAGCAAATCACACTGCCATGTGTGTACCTATGCAACAATCTTGCATGTTCTTCACATGTACCCCCAAACCTAAAATGCAATTTAAAAAAAACCAAAAAAACAAAACAAAACAAAACATTAAGACCTAACACCATAAAAACCCTAGAAGAAAATCTAGGCAAAACCATCCATGACATAGGCATAGGCAAGGACTTCATGGCTAAAACACCAAAGCATTGGCAACAAAAGCCAAAATAGACAAATGGGACCTAAATAAACTCCACAGCTTCTGCACAGCAAAAGTAACAGTCATTAGAGTGAATCGGCAACCAACAGAATGGGAAAAAACTTTTGCAATTTACCCATCTGACAAAGGGCTGATATCCAGAATCTACAAAGAACTAAAACTGATTTACAGGAAAAAAACAAGCTCATTCAAAAGTGGGAGAAGGATAAGAACAGACTTTACAAAAGACATACGAGGCCAACAAACATATGAAGAAATGCTCATCATCACTGGTCATTAGAGAAATGCAAATCAAAATCACGAGATACCACCTCACGCCAGTTAGAATGGTGATCATCAAAACATCTGGAGACAACATGCTGGAGAGGATGTGGAGAAATAGGAACACTTGTACACCGCTGGTGGGAGTGTAAATTAGTTCAACCATTGTGGAAGACAGTGTGGCGATTCCTCAAGGACCTAGAAATAGAAATACCATTTGACCCAGCAATCCCATTACTGGGTATATATCCAAAGGATTATAAATTGTTCTGTTACAAGGACACATGCACACATACGTTCACTGCGGCACTGTTTACAATAGCAAAGGCTTGGAACCAACCCAAATGCCCATCGATGATAGACTGGACAAGGAAAATGTGGCACATATACACCATGGAATACTATGCAGCCATAAAAAACGATGAGTTCGTGTCCTTTGTAGGGACATGGATGAACCTGGAAACCATCATTCTCGGCAGACTGACGCAAGAACAGAAAATCACCACATGTTCTCACTCATAGGTGGGTGTTGAACAATAAGAACACATGGACACGGGGAGGGGAGCATCACACACTGGGGACTTTTTTTAAGACAGTGTTTCACCATGTTGGTCAGGCTGGTCTTGAACTCCCAACCTCAGGTGATCCGCCCGCCTTGGCCTCCAAAGTGCCTGGATTACAGGTGTGAGCCACCACGCCCGGCCCTCACTGGGGTCTTTAGGGGGGAAATGGGAGGAACAGCGAGGGGTAGGGAGTTGGGGAGGGATAACGGGGAGAAATGCCAGATATAGGTGATGGGGAGGAAGGCAGCAAACCACACTGCCATATGTGCACCTATGTAACAATCTTGCATGTTCTTCACATGTACCCCAAAACCTAAAATGCAATTTTAAAAAAAAGTGTCTCCTGGGACACTCCAGGTATCAACTCTCTATCCATCTGGATGCACTCAGGAGAGAAAAACCACACAGTAACTCAAACAGGGACCATTTAATATAGAGAATTACTGGCTTTAACAGTGAACTGGAATAATGAGGGCTTCAATGATAAAATGCTTCTGAATTGACTGGAAATCCATCTGGGGTGCTGGGGAAAGTTATTCCCAGAGAGGTGCCTCAATGGAGGCACTGTGTCTCCTATGCAACTACTGGGAGATGGAGGGTGCCGGGGGCAGCTGCTGACCTCCTGACACCTCAAGAGCTGGGTGCTGGGGAAGCCACGTGCACTGCGGAACCCAGAGGCAGGCGCACAACCAACAGGAACCAGGAGGGAAGTGGCTTTCCTCCTCCAATGCCTGTTAGGCGCCCTCTGCTGACAAAGCTTATGTCACTGGCAAAGGGAAAATCCTGCAAAGGCCCAGATCCCCCCTTTCAAAAAACAGCAGACCAAAAAAAGCTGAATGTGGAACTGAAGGTCAGTAAATCCACAACCAGCAATACCGTGGGGCCTGGGCTGTGCTGGCCTTTAGTGAGTGGGGCCAAGGATGCTGCACGCACGTCCTGCCGTGAGCAGAGCGCCCCCCTCCGCCCCCAACGAGAGAGAACCATCCCTGTAAAGTGTTAGCAGTAGCCTCTGTATCAGTCAGGGTCCCTCGAAGAAATGGCAGCGCACTCACATGAAGACAGTTTGAGAAGAGTCTCCCGACAAGGTGAATGTGGCTCCCTGCAGCTGCCGACAGCCTGAGCCTTGATGTCCCCAGGCCCGAAAAGGGGCATGAAAAGGGCTGCCTGACAGGGTGACGGGAGCACAGGAGCTATGACCGTTAGCCAAGGGCAGCCAGGAATAAATAGTGTGACCTCACTCTCTTTCCCTGTGATCAGCCAGCGCCACTCCCCAACCCCCATGTTGAGTGAAGACAAACAGAAGCCAGAAGTGTGGTGAGCTACCAGACATTCCATGCAGTCTGCTGAAAAGCCACTTGAATGGGGACAGGGCTGAAGGCTAGGCAGGGACGGGCCTGTCCGTGTCCCGAGGCTGCTCCTCTGGCCCCAATTCCAGGCCCTCAGCCAAGTTGACCCCCACGACATTGCAGTTGGGCAGCATCTCCTCCACCAAGATCTGAGTGAGGCCTGGGTCAGACACGGAAGGGAGGTCGGAGATGTCCAGCCAGCGGAGGTTCCTGAAAGGGGGCGAGAAGGACAGGAAGCCAGTGTAAGGACAGTGTACATGTATAGGGAGGTACTGGCCCCAATTTCAACTCTAGCTTCCTAAAATACTTTTTTTTTTTTTTGAAGACAGTCTCACTTTGTCACCTGGGATGGAGTATAGTGGCGTGATTTCTGCTCACTGCAACCTCCGCCTCCCAGGTTCAAGCAGTTCTCTGCCTCAGCCTCCCGAGTAACTGGGATTATAGGCACCTGCCACCATGCCCAGCTAATTTTTGTAGTTTTAGAAGAGGCAGGGTTTCACCATCTTGGCTAGACTGGTCTTGAACTCCTGACCTGGTGATCCACCTGCCTCGGCCTTCCAAAGTGCTGGGATTACAGGCGTGAGCCACTGCGCCCGGTCCTAAAATATTTATAGCTGTCCAAGCACCTGAAACCCACTGCAACTATACAACTCCAACTTCTGCTGTTCTGCCATAGCACTGATAGAGTTTTCATTAAAACAAAAAGAAGAAAACCAGGAGTCATTTAATTCTTCCAGAGACTCACTGCGACTGCCCATCTACCATGAACACTCTAGGTTTGTGGTGGAGGCAGGGGGATATGAGAACTGCCCAGCATTGCCCCTCCCCACTTCCTCTCCTGCATCTGTGTTTGGGTGGGAGAGATGCCCGGGTACAGGGCCCAGGCTGAGATGAGATCTCACTGGAGGTGATGGAGGCAGCCGAGGCCCCGTTCGGAGACGTGGGGGCAACCGGCCAGCGAGAGCTCCTGCAGCGAGTCGGCCAGTGGGTAGAGGCGGCTGAGACACCAGTCATCCACGTGCGGGCAGCGCTGCAGCAGCAAGGACTGGAGGTCCTTCAGGTGGTCTGCAGTGGGGAGAGGGCGGGATGGCACCAGGGGGCTTTCTGGAGCCCATCACCAAAGGGAAAATGTAGAGGCCTGTCCCATCTCCACCCCATCCCACTCACGGAGGTTTTCCAGGCCCTCGTAGTTGATGGCACAGCCACTGGCATCCACAGCTTCGACAGGCACCTCTGAGAAATTCCAGAATTCCTGAGAGAAATGGCCATACTTATCTGGCCTGATCCACTCCTTGTCTCGAAACCTGGAAAGGGAGAGAAAGGTAGTGTCAGCAGGGCACCCCCACCTGCCCCAGGCCTCCAGCCTCTTCAGAACCTTCCCAGCCCTATATAACATGTATAGATCACCCTTGACATAAATGACTCCATCTTAGAAAAACACTCCATCTGGCTGTGGTGGCTCATGCCTGTAATCCCAGCACTTTGGGAGGCTGAGGTGAGTGGATCGTTTGAGGTCAGGAGTTGGAGACCAGCTGGCCAACATAGTGAAACCCTGTCTCTACCAAAAATACAAAAAATTAGCCAGGTGTGGTGGTGTGCACCTATAATCCCAGGTATTTGGGAGGCTGAGGTAGGAGAATCGCTTGAACCCAGGAGGTAGAGGTTGCAGCAGGCTGAGATCATGCCATTACACTCCAGCTTGGGTGACAGAGTGATACTCTGTCTCAAAAAAAATTTTTTTTGAGCACATATGTGGCGCTAGGCCTCTTATATTACAAAATCACACTCAATCTCCCTCTCTGACAGGGTCTCTCTGGGTAGTTGGGACTATAGGCATGCACCACCATGCCTAGGTAATTTCATATTTTTGGTAGAGATGGGGTTTCACTATGTTGCCAGGCTGGTCTTGAACTACTGGGCTCAAGTGCTCCACCTGCCCTGGCCTTCCAAAGCCACCACACCCAGCTATTATTTTTTTCTTTTGAGACAGAGTCTTGCTCTGTCCACCAAGCTGGAGTGCAGTGGCACAATCTCAGCTCATTGCAACCTCTGCCTCCCAGGTTCTAACGGGTTCTCCTGCCTCAGCTTCCCAAGGAGCTGGTATTACAGGTGTGTGCCACCATGCTAAGCTAATTTTGTATTTTTAGTAGAGACGGGGTTTCACCACGTTGGCCAGGTGGTCTCGAACTCCTGACCCCAGGTGATCCACCAGCCTTGGCCTCCCAAAGCGCTGGGATTACAGGTGTGAACCACCATGCCCAGCCTATTATTATTTTTTGAGATGAGGTCTCACTCTATTGCCCAGGCTAGAGTTCAGTGGTGTGACTAAAGCTTAGTGTAGCCTCCTGGGATCAAGCAATCCTCCTGCCTTAGCCTCCTGAGTAGCTGGAACCACAGGCATGTGCCACCATTATCTGGCTAATTTTTTTTTTCTTCACTCCCAACATAAGTCATCATGCTAGTATACATACTTGGCTAATATAAAAAATTTTGCCAGGCTGGGTGCAGTGCCTCATGCCTGTAATCCCAAGATTTTGGGAGGTTGAGGTGGGTGGATCACCTGAGGTCAAGGGTTTGAGACCAGCCTGACAAACATGGAGAAACCCTGTCTCTACTAAAAATACAAAATTAGCCAGGCATGGTGGCGCATCCCTGTAATCCCAGTTACTCAGGAAGCTGTGGCAGTAAAATCGCTTGAACCTGGGAGGCAGAAGGTTGCAGTGAGCCGAGATTGCACCATTACACACCAGCATGGGCAACATGAGTGAAACTCCATCTAAAATATATATATTTATATATATATATATATAACATTTATTTATTTATTTATTTATTTATTTATTTATTTAGAGACAGGGTCTCACAAAGTTGCTGAGGCTGGTCTCAAACTCCTGGGCTCAAGTGACCTTCCTGTTTCAGCCTCCCAAAGTGCCAGGATTACAGACGTAAGCCAGTGTCCCAGCGCCATCCAGTCTTCATAGCAAACCTTGTAGGTTAGAAATGATCACCATCCCATTTTCCACATGACAAAACTGAATCTCAGGAACAAGTCCAAAGCCACATAGCCAGGAGGCAGCAGAGACCAGGGGACACAGTGAAGCCTCTGTGACTGCAAAGACTGGATGTTAGGCAGATACCCCACCACCGACCCCCAGCCCATTATAACACCTTAGCGGTCATACTTGACTGCTCCTCCCTGCTTCAGGATGAAAAAGGCACCTGCGTTGTTTGGACCGTATGTCTCCTCCAGGTGGGCGAAGGATCTGCAGAGAAAACGGTAGCTAAGGGTGAGGCATCGGGAGCACCACACCTTCATGATGTTCCAGTGCTGTTAAGAGGGGCAGGGTCCAGAGAACCAGGCACACAGACAGAGTCAGCCTGTGCAGATTTATTGCCCACCAAGTGCTGGGCACTGGGGGTACAAAGTGGTGACCAACACAGATAACATCCCTGCCCCGTCTGGAGATTACTGCAGTAATCCAACCTATTATACAGGGAGAAATAGACAACAACCCAGGAAATAACAAATTGCAGAGCATGTCAATTCCATGGCCAAATAAGGCAGAGGGGCTGACTGGGAGGGGTGGGGAGCGGAGGGGTGGGGACGGTGGAGGCTAATTGAGTTTGGGTATTAATGGCAGGCTGTGACATCTCAGCAGAGATTTGAGTGGTGACAAGGAACAGAGTATAAAGGCTCAGAGACTCAAATTAGGATGGTTGAATGAATAAGAAATAGGGATGTCAGCCAGGTGCAGTGGCTCACCCCTGTAATTCCAGCACTCTGGGAGGCCTAGGCAGGTGGATCACCTTAGGTCAGGAGTTCGAGACCGGCCTGGACAACATAGTGAAACCCTATCTCTAGTAAAAAATACAAAATTAGCCGGGCGCGGTGACACATGCCTGTAATCTCACCTAGTTGGGAGGCTGCGGCAGAGGTTGTGGTGAGCCGAGATCGTGCCATGGCACTCCAGCTCAGGCAACAAGAGCAAACCCTGCCCACCCACCCCCCACACACAGAGAAATAGGGATGTCATGCTGATAGGGGGCCAGTGGAGTCCTGGTTGGGGGTCTCAAAGTTCAGTAGGGGTTATGATTTAGGTCTTAAAGATTGGCTCTCATTTGAGGGTTTTAAGCCGAAGATAAGATTCCTTCAGCTGCTTTGTAGATTACGGGACAGGCCAGGCATGGTGGCTCATGCCTGTAATCCCAGCACTTTGGGGGGCCAGGCATGGTGGCTCATGCCTGTAATCCCAGCACTTTGGGAGGCCAAGGCGGACGGATCACCTTAAGCCAAGAGTTCAAGGCCAGCTTGGCCAACATGGTGAAACCCCATCTCTACTAAAAATACAAAAATTAGCCAGTCCTGTAATCCCAGTTACTCTGGAGGCTGAGGCATGAGTATTGCTTGAACATGGTAGGCAGAGGCTGGAGTGAGCTGAGGTTGTGCCACACTACACCCTGCCTCAGGGACAGAGTGAGTCTGTCTAAAATAAATAAATAAATAAAAGTATGGGAGGCTGGGCATGGTGGCTCATGCCTGTAGTCCCAGCACTCTGAAAGGCCAAGGTGGGTGGATCCCTTGAGGTACGGAGTTCAAGACAAGCCTGGCCAACATGGTGAAACCCTGTCTCTACTAAAAATAAAAAAATTGGCTGGGTGTGGTGGCAGGTGCCTGTAATCCCAGCTACTCAGGAGGCTGAGGCAGGAGAATCACTTGAACCTGGGAACTGGAGGTTGCAGTGAATTGAGATTGCACCATTGCACTCCAGCCAGGGCCACAGAGCAAGACTGTCTCGAAAGGAGGGCGGGGGGGAAGTATGGGAGCAAAAAACCAGTTAGATTACTGAGTGATTGGATCAGGCTATGAATGGTGAAGGCAGTGAAAACTGGTCAAATTGGAGATATTCTAGTATTTGATTGATGGTATGGATGTGGAGGGCAGGGAAGCAAAGAGGAATTAGCGGATGACTCCTTAGAATGCGGCATGAATCACTGGGTGGGCAGCACTAATGTTTACTGGGATGGGAAGGCTTGGGAGATGTTTTTAGGGGAGAAATCAGGGTCTGGTTTTAGCCGTGTTGGGTTTAAGAGGCCAGTTATACTCTGAGTTGAGCTGGTGGGTGGCAAGCTGCCTATGTGAGCTGGAGTACTTGAGAACGGTACAGGCTGGAGATGGAGCTGGAAGAGACACTGGACGCCACAGTTCTGCCTGGGAATGACAAGGACGGGACCTGGGTTCTGGTGGGCCAGAGTCTCCGCAGGGTCTTGCGGGCCAGGGATTCTTACCGATTTTTCTGATGCACCTTGTCCATCTCATTTTGGAAAAGATAACCCCTCAGAAACTCCACATCGTAGAAATAGTCAGACAGGTGCTGGAGCATTGTCCTTCTCTTCTGATTACTCTCTGGGTCCACTGCCCCACCCAGGTGATGGATGCCCCTGGTACTTCTATTCCATATGGGGGCCACTAGGCGCAGGGACTGTGAATAAGGAGAGGAAAGGAGCTGAGCCTGGAGCTTCCTGGGGGAGAGAGAGCCGGATCCCCCAGTTCTTGCTCCCTGAACTTCAATCCCTCTGCTTCCCAACTCACCCTAAATTCCTTCTTCAGAACTTCAAAACTGACTTTGAGATGCCAAAAATTTCGCCATATTTTCTCCAAGTTTCTCCTCCCCTTAGTCACCCTAAATTCTTGCCTTGATTAGCCATACATTGTTGATTTACCTAAATTATTCCTCTTTCTCCCAAACTCTTCTCTCTCAAAACTTGCATTATTTGACCTCTTAATTTGCCCCTTAATTACCCAATTAAGAGTCCTTGGCCAGGCGCGGTGGCTCATGCCTGTAATCCCAGGACTTTGGGAGACCGAGGCGGGTGGATCACGAGGTCGAGAGATCGAGACCATCCTGGTCAACATGGTGAAACCCCGTCTCTACTAAAAATACAAAAAAATTAGCTGGGCATGGTGGCACGTGCCTGTAATCCCAGCTACTCAGGAGTTTGAGGCAGGAGAATTGCCTGAACCCAGGAGGCGGAGGTTGCGGTGAGTCGAGATCGCGCCATTGCACTCCAGCCTGGGTAACAAGAGCGAAACTCCGTCTCAAAGAAAAAAAAAAAAAAAAAAAAAAAAAGAGTCCTTGAGAATGATACAAGCTGGAGATGAGCTCGAAGAGACATCAAGGCTGGCACTGGACGCCACAGTGCTGCCTGGCAATGACAAGGACAGGACCTGGGTTCTGGTGAGCCAGGGTCTCCGCAGGGTCTTGCAGACCAGGGATTCTTACCGATTTTTCTGATGCACCTTGTTCCCAGGTGCACCTTATGCATCTTAATTACCCAATTAAGGGACAAATTGTGGGAAATCATCCTGGAGTCTTCCCAAATAACATTTCATTCTCCAAAATATAATCTTAAAAACTTCTCTCCAAACCTTATGGAGAGGGCACTCTGAGCAATCCTAAACCCAACCAAGCTTGTCCAACCTGCCGCCTTCATGCAGCCTAACACAAACCTGCAAACTTTCTTAAAACATTGCGAGAATTTGTGACTTTTTAAGCTCATCAATTATGGTTAATGCATTTTATGTGTGGCCCAAGACAATTATTCTTCTTCGAACAACGTGGTCCAGGGAAGCCAAAAAACCGGACACCACTGAACCGTGAAGGGTAAAAAATGCATGAGCTTTGAAGATGAGGGTAAGAAAGTGGAGGGGTGTGGCCTCTGGGAAGAAGCCCCCAAACTCTTCAATATCGCTTTCAAGGTGTTCTCTTAATCTACCCCAATTTCTCTTCAAAGGCTCTCTCGCTCTTTTTTTCTCCAAATTCTCTCGATAATTTTACCCAAACCCTTATTTTCATCGAAACTTTAAAGCTTCCAACCTCTTTATTTTTCCCTAAATTCATTCCTTGATTTTACCCAATTCTTTCTAAATCCTCTGAAAAGACTATCCCAAATCCTCGTCTTAATTTCACCCAGATCATTCCCTTGGAAGCCCCAAACTGACCTCTTGGTTCCCCCACTCATCATACTTTAGAATTTTCTGTAAAAATTCCTCAGTCCCCCACTAACTTTCCACTCCCTCATCCCCACTGGATTATCTCAGCCAAGTCCCTGCCTCCTCTGGCCCGCTAAAGCGTCTCCTCCGCCTGCGACCCCCCCGAGATCCTTCCCGGCCCTCAACAGTCACAGGTCTGCACTCTCGGCACGGGGCTCGGCAGGCTTAGCCTGCTGCCTCGGGGCTCTTTGCTCTCTTGGCAGCCAACACTGGCCTTGAAGACGGAGGCTGCAGAGCGGACTTCAAATCCGGGGCTGTAGGAACTCCGTTCACTTACCCGCCACGGCGCCGCCATCTTGCAAGCGTTACGTAACCGGAAGAGGCGGGTCGTACCACCTGCCTGGTTCAGCGCGAGCTCCTCACACCCCGCGTTTTCTAACCCTCTTCTTAAAGGTGCACGCACCTTTTACTCATACGGTTTAGTGATTGCTCACGGCGCCCCCTTTCCGAGCTCTAATACGGAACACCGGTCGGACACGGTGGCTCACGCACCTGTGAGCCCCGCACTTTATGGAGGCGGAGGTGGGAGCATCGCTTGAAGTCAGGAGTTCAAGACCAGCCTGGGCAACATAGGGGAGCACTTATCTCCACAAAAAATAGGGAAACCTTATCTCCACAAAAAATGAAATGTTAGCCGGGCATGGTGGTGCACGCCTGTGGTCCCAGCTACTCACGAGGTTGAGGCGGGAGGATTGCTTGAGCTGGGGAGGTCAAGGTTTGCAGTGAGCTGTGATTGCACCACTCCACTGCACTCCAGCCTGGGCGACAGAGCCAGACGCTGTCTCAAAAAAAAAAAAAAAAAAAAGACAACTCCGCAATCTTTCCCTAGAAAATGGGGTCCTTCCTGGCTGAGTACCTTTTTTTTTTTTTCTGACTGCAAGTGCAGTCTCGCCAAGCTTTCTTGTTCTCCCAGCTTCACTCACTACCTGCTTAAAACAGGGAATGAAGACCGGACACTGTGGCTCACGCCTGTAATCCCAGCACTTTGGGAGGCGGAGACGGAGGCGGGTGGATCGCCTGAGATCTGTAGTTCGAGACCAGCCTGGCCAACACGGAGAAACCCCATCTCTACTAAAAATACAAAATTAGCTGGGCGTGATGGCCCATGCCTGTAATCCCAGCTACTTGGGAGGCTGAGGCAGGAGAAGCGCTTGAACCTGGGAGGCAGAGGTTGCCGGGGCCGAGATCACACCATTGCATACCAGCCTGGGCAACAAGTGGGAAACTCCATCTCAAGCAAACAAACAAAACAACAACAAAACAAAACAAAACAAAAAAAAACAGGGAACGAGAGGGCTGAAAAGCTGACCACACCATTTTTTAAAATTAGGGTCAGGTAAGAGAAAGGTAGAGTGGATGAAGGGGTTAGACTTCAAGATTAGAGACTGAGGTGAGATCTCAAGACCAGTACTGAAGTTTGACTTCAGTTTGGAGTTCAAAGCTATATCGTAGCATGAAGAGCCACGGCGAAGTCTTGCGGATAGAAATATTCATTCATTCATTCATTCCAAGAGTATTTACTGAGTACCTACAACGTGATGGCAGGCATGTTCTAGGTGCTGAGGTTATCATGGTGAGCAGAACAGACCAGCCCCTCTCTCAGGGAGTCAACTTTCCGGGCCGGGAGAGGATGGATATGAGAGAGGATGGATAAGAAACAAAGGAATCAGCAAGGTAAGTATAGGAAGCAGATTTTAAAAAGTGACTGGGGCTTAGGGCCAGCAGCAAAGGCCTCTCTGAAGAGGTGACATTGAAGGGGAAGGGAATGATAAGGAAAGAGCCATTCAGAGATCCAGGGGAAAAGTGTTGCAGGGAGAGGTAGGCTCTAGAGCAGAGAGGCAGCTTCTAGACCAGAGAGGCCTTGAGGTGGGAACCAGCTTGCAGACAGAGATAGGGGACTGGTTTGAGAGGTGGGCAGGGGTAGGATTTTTATTCTCTTCGCAGTAGGAAGAAGGGAATGTTAAAATCGGATTTACGTTTTGTAAAGATTGTTTCTGCCGGGCCCAGTGGCTGATGCCTGTAATCCTAGCACATTTTGGGAGGCCAAGAAGGGTGGATCAACTGAGGTTGGGAGTTCGAGACCAGCCTGACCAACATGAAACTCCATCTGTACTAAAATACAAAATTATCCAGGTGTGGTGATGCATGCCTGTAATCCCAGCTACTTGGGAGGCAGGAGAATTGCTTGAACCTGGGAGGCAGAGGTTGTGTTGAGCTGAGATCTTGCCATTATACTCCAGCCTGGGCAACAAGAGCAAAACTCCATCTCAATATATATATATATTTCTGCCAGGTGGAGAATGTACCTGAGAGCAGTGGTCCTCAAGATTTTTGTCACCAGGGACCAGTTTTGTGGAATACAATTATTCCATTGACCACGGGGTGGGGGTCAGGTAGGGATGGTTTCAGAATGAAACTGTTCCACCTGAGATCATCAGGCATTAGATTCTCATAAGGAGCAGGCCACCCAGATCCTCCCTACACACAGTTCACAATAGAGTTTGCCTCCTGTGAGAATCTAATGCCACCACGGATCTAACTGGAGGTGGAGCTCAGGCGGTCATGCTCACTTGCCCACTGCCCACCTCTTGCTGTGTGGCCCAGTTCCCAACAGGCCACAGGCTGGTTGGTCCTCGGCCCAGGGATTGGGGACGCTTACCTTAGAGGGCAAGGGTAGACGCAGGCAACCAGTACAAGAGGCTACTGTAATGGTCTAGGCAAGAGATGAACGGGGATGGGCAGAGGAAATGGTGAGACGTGCTCAAATTCTGGATTTTTTTTTTTTTTTAAGACAAAGTTTTGCTCTTGTTGCCCAGGCTGGAGTGCAATGGCACAATCTTGGCTCACTGCAACCTCTGCCTCCTGGGTTCAAGTGATTCCCCTGCCTCAGCCTCCCGAGTAGCTGGGATTACAAGTGAGCACCATCACACCTGGCTAATTTTTGTATTTTTAGTGGAGATGGGGTTTCACTACGTTAGCCGGGCTGGTCTTGAACTCCTGACCTCAGGTGATCCACCTGCCTCAGCCTTCCAAAGTGCTGGAATTACAGGTGTGAGCCACCAGGCCCAGCCAATTTCATGTATATATCATTGGCTTTGAAGTGTCTGGCCCCAGTCCGGATCTCCCACTTGAATTCCACACCCAAACTCTGCAGCTCTGACACAGGGTAGGTGAGTCCCCAAATTAAGGGCTTAGCCATTTTGGAGGGTTCTTGGCTCCACTCAGGAAAGAATTCAAGCTGGGTATGGTGGCTCATGCCTGTAGTCCCAGCACTTTGGGAGGCTGAGGCAGGCAGATCACCTGAGGTCAAGGAGTTCGAGATCAGCATGACCAACATGAATCACCATCTCTACTAAAAATACAAAAAAAAATTTGTATATTTTTTGTTCAGCCGAGATTATGCCACTGCACTCCAGCCTGGGCGACAGAGCAAGATATATATGTGTATGTAATTTATTTTATTTTTTTTTGAGATGGAATCTTGTTCTGTCACCAGGCTGGAGTGCAGTGGGCTCACTGCAACCTCCACCTCCCGGGTTCAAGTGATTCCCCTGCCTCAGCCTCCCGAGCAGCTGGGACTACAGGCGCATGCCACCATGCTTGGTTAATTTTTTGTATTTTAGTAGAGACGGGTTCCACCATGCTGGCCAATCTCCTGACCTTGTGATCTGCCATTCTGTGTGTGTATATATACAAGCATCTCGGGTCTGAAGGAAGGGTTCAAGGGAGAGAGAGGCCTGCAATGCTTCCCAGACTTTTCCACAGCAGAGGCCCCCACCCCCAACAGGGATAATAGACGCCTAGGCAAGTCCAGGGTCAGCAGAATTGGCTGCTCAGCCCTAGGCTAGCAGCCCGGACACAGGCACTGCAGCTAAGGGATTGCTCTGTTGGTGCCCCTGGGAGCCATTTCTGCTCCCAAAGGCACACTGGTGGGAAAGCCCTGGAATGACCCGCACCGAGAGTGCAAGGACCAAGCTGTGGGTGAGCCAGAGGTCAGATGGAGGCTGAGGAGAGGCTGGAAGGGGGGCGAGTGCCCAGGTGGAAGGACAGAGGGTGCCAGGCATCTGCAGACACAGTGCCCCTGAAGGGTCAGGCCTGAGATAGGCAGGGAGGGGTGGAGTTTGGCCTCTGCAAGAGGTTGTGTTTGAACCTTGTGAGCAGAGTTGAGGTTAGACTTCAGAGGGAGGAAAGAAAAAAAGCACAAGGCCAGCTGATTCTCTCTGAAGAGTGGACTTTGGGATGCCTTTGCCAGGAACCCCCATCCCACTCCCTCTGCCCTTTACTCTCCACTGTGCAGACAGCTCCCCGGAGGACTGGGCCACCCTGGACCTTGCTACTTCCTGCTCCTGGCACCCAGAGCTCAGAGACAATGGAGCTGTGGAGGCAGCTGAGTCAGGCTGGACTGGTGCCTCCGGAGCTGGGCCCACCCCCCCGGGCCCTGAGGGAGGTCTCCCCAGTGGAAATCCCTGGCCAGACCCTCACGACTGCAGGGGCAGACGCTGGAGGTGCCTGGGATAGTCTGCTGTGGATCTGTGAGGAGCTGGTGAGTGAGGGGTTTGGAAGCAAAAGAGAAAGAGAGAGGGAATAAGAATGAATGAAAATAGGGCTAGAGATGGAAAGAATCTGAGAGAGAAGCAGAGACATGAGAGGCATGTACAGACACAGAGACGGGGATAGAGGGAGGGACAGGAATGGAGGTGGGGACAGAGAGATCCCAAAAGAGAGGGATGGAGGTGGGAAGCGGAGACTGAGAGCAGGAACAGAGACGGAGAGACTCAGACTGAATCTGAGAGACAGTTGGTGGGGGGAGGAGAGAGCAAGAGAGAGAGAAGGAGAGAGAGTGCCAAAGGCAGGGGCAGAAAAATGGCAAAACAGAGAGACAGGGGGATGGAAAGGAAAAATAAATGGGGACAGAGACAGACAAAAGGGAGACAGGGACAGAGATAGAGAGGGTGGAGACAGAGAGAGAGAGAGAGAGAGAGAGAGAGAGGAAGTCAGGGAGAATGAAATGCAGAGACAAAGACAGAGAGTTAGAGATGAAGACACCCTCTGGGAAGCAGGAAGGTAGTTAGGGTCCAGGGGCACTGTGAGGACCCTGCCCAGGCGCCGTGGCCAGGATGTGAGCTGGGCCCTGCTCTCACCCAGGTCCTGGAGAGCCCCCTTGCTCTCTGGGGTGGCATGCCTGTGACACCCGCTTCCTACCGGTAGGGGAACCTTCGCCAAATGGATGTCCAGCTGCTGGGACAGCTGTGCCGCCTGGGACTGGAGATGGGGGCGCTGCGGGAGGAACTGGTCACCATGTTGGACGAGGAGGAGGAGGAGAGCGGCGAGGAAGAGGAAGAGGATGAAGAGCCCCAGAGGAAGCAGGAGGAGGAGCACCTGGAGGCCTGCCCCGCCCCACAGCTGCCTGACTTTGAGATCACGATCTGAGGCTCTGCCAGTGCATTTAGGGTGACATACAGATGAGATGCAAATATATGCAGAGGGAAGGGGTGAGTTGCAGGTCAAATCAGATGCGGAATCAAGTTTACTCCTTTGAGAAGTGCTTTCTCCGAGGGTGCCTGCAGTGAGATTTAGGCATCGGCCTGTGAGCTGTGGGTGTGTTTGCAGGTGATGTGGGAGGTTGTGGAGAAGTTGCAGGTGCTTTTGCAGATGAGCCTCAGGTGTGCAGCGGAGATGGCGGCCTCTGCAGATATGATGGACGTGCATATAGATGCGATTTCAGATCAGCGCCGCCCAGGATGGCAGCCACCAGACACACATGGTTATTTAGCACTTGAAACATGGAGACTCCAAATTGAGGTGTGCTGTGAGTATAAAGTACACACCAAATATTAAAGGCTTAGCATGATGAAAAGAACATAAGACATCTCAATAAGTTTTAGATTACTTGTTGAAATAATATTTTGAGCATATCGGTATTAATAAAAATATTATTAAAATTATGTTCACCTGTTTTTACATTTTGTTGTGTGTGTTGGTTCCCTCCCTGTGTCTATGTGTTCTCGTTTTTGTGTTTACAAAGCACTTTCTTTTATTTATTTATTTATTTTTATTTTTATTTTACTAAGACAGGGTTTCACCATGTTGGTCAGGCTGCTCTTGAACTCCCGACCTCAGGTGATCTGCCCACCTTGGCCTCCAAAGTGCTTGGATGACAGGCATGAGCCACCACGCGCGGCCACAAAGCACTTTCTAGTTGGAAGTGACGGTGTTTGCTGATGTGGGTGGATCACCTGAGGTCAGGAGTTCGAGACCAGGCCTGACCAACGTGGAAAAACCCCATCTCTACTAAAAATACAAAATTAGCTGGCTGTAGTGGTACATGCCTGTAATCCCAGCTACTCGGGAGGCTGAGGCAGGAGAATTGCCTGAACCCAGGAGGCGGAGGTTGTGGTGAGCCAAGATTGCGCCATTGCACTCCAGCCTGGGTAACAAGAGCAAAACTCCATCTCAAAAACAAACAAACAAAAAAAACCCCAAAACAACAACAACAACAAAGAAAACAATCTGTCAGCCTTGGTTGCCTGGCTGTCTACTTTTTCTCTCTCTTTTTTTTTTTGAGACTGAGTCTCTCTGGAGTGCAGTGGTGTGATCTCGGCTCACTGTAGCTGTATCCTCCACCTCCCAGGTTCGAGTGATTCTCCTGCCTCAGCCTCGTGAGTAGCTGGGATTATAGGTGAGCCCCACCACACCCAGCTAATTTATGTATTTTTAGTAGAGACAAGGTTTTGCCATGTTGACAGGGCTGGTCTCAAACTCCTGACCTAGCCATCCACCTGCCTCAGCCTCCCAAAGTGCTGGGATTACAGGTGTGAGCCACGGTGCCTGGCCTGGACCCGATGTTTAAGAAGAGTTGCCCTAAACTATAACCTGGGCCACAGAGGTGAAATCTATGGAAGAGAATGGGAGTTTGGGCAAAGGGGGCAACCCCACCAGTACTGTCCTCAGCACCACGCTAACTGAGCTCCTTCCAGCAGTGATCAAGCCTGCACCAGGCCTGCCCTTCTGGATCTCCCAGACCAGTGGGGGAAGACCCATCCCTTCCCAGGGACAGCCCAGATGGTCAGGGTGGGGACAGAGGAACTATCACCTGAGGAATCAGGGCTGAGATGGGGGAACCACAGGAGGCTGAGGGGACCCAGAGAAGGCAACAGGCGCATGCTGAAATGTCAGGAAGGTGATCTTAGAGGAGAACTGAGGTGTTAAGGAAAAATGAGCCAAGTAGGGAAAGTGAATGGGGCCAGACGAGGTGGCTCACGCTGTAGTCCCAGCACTTTGGGAGGCCAAGGCTGGCGGATCACCTGACATCAGGCGTTTGAGACCAGCCTGGCCAACATGGCAAAACCCCGTCTCTACTAAAAATACAGAGATTAGCCGGGTGTGGTGGTGCACGTCTGTAGTCCCAGCTACTCAGGAGGCTGAGGCACAAGAATTGCTTGAACCTGGGAAGTGGAGGTTGCAATCAGCTAAGATTGTGCCTTCAGCCTGGGCAACAAAGTGAGACTCTGTCTCAAAAGAAAGAAAGGAAAGAAAGGAAGAAAGGAAAAAAGAAGGAAGGAAGAAAGAGAATAAGAATATAAAAGTAGAAAAATAACATACGCAGAAGCCATGGGATGATCTGGTGATCTAGCCCCTTGCTACTCAAAGTCCAGTCCTTTGTGGAACTCAGCAGGAACAGCATTGCACAGCTGCCTATTGCCGCATAACAAATAGCTCCCAAACACTGTTGTTTCAAAACAGTGACAGGGCTGGGTGTGGTGGCTCATGCCTGTAATCCCAGCACTTTGGGAGGCCAGGGCAGGTAGATCACGAAGTTGGAGATCAAGACCATCCTGGCTAACAGGGTGAAACCCCATCTCTACTAAAAATACAAAAAACTGGCTGGGTGTGGTGGCGCACGCCTGTCGTCCCAGCTACTTGGGAGGCTGACACAGGAGAATTGCTTGAAAATGGGAGGCGGAGGCTGTGGTGAGCTGAGATCACACCGCTACACTCCAGCCTGGGCGACAGAGCAAGACTCCATCTCAGAAAAAAAGAAAACAAAAAACAAACAAACACAAAACAGTGACAGCATGCATTTTGCTCCTGAATCTGCCATCTGGAGGGATCCCTTACCTCTGCTCCACACGGTCCAAGGCTTCAGCTGGAATCATTGAAGGCGCATTTGCTCTCCTGTTTGGCAGTTGGTGCTGGCCCCGGGAGGGCCTCTGTTCCTCTTCCTGTCGTCTCTCCGAATGGGCTAGGTTGGGCTCCCAAGGAGCTTAGAAGATGGGTTCCAAAGGCATGTGTCCTGAGAGGGAGCCAGGCAGAAGCCACTTCGCCGTGTGTGACCCAGCCTCATAAGCCATGCAGGGTCACTCTCAGCACATTCCATTTGCTGATGCCACTGCAAAGTCTTGATCAGGTTCAAAGAAAGGGGAAATGGACTCCGCCTTTTCATGGGAGAGTACAAGGTTCTGGAGGGGCACGTGGGTCAGCAAATATTGCTGAGATCATCGGTGGGAAACGCAAGCCGCTCCAGCAGCCTCGGAACTTGGTAGATGTGCTGACTCTCAGACCCATTCGAGGCCAACCAAAGCAGAGCCTGAGCATTAGATGAGCTGCAGCTGCTTCCTTTGCAAATTAGGTTTGAGGAGCATGGTTCTAAATCACTAATTCGACACTGCTTTGAGCAGGTGGAGCAGGGAAACAGTACTTATATTTAAAGAGTTCCCTCTGGCTGCATGTGGAGGTTGGATTAGAGGGCTCAAGAGTGGTGTTCCAGTAGGAAGAACCAAAAAAAAAGAAACAAACAACAAAAAAAGATGAATTGAACATTATCAAAATTTCAAGCCTGTGTGCATAAAAAAACACTATTGAAAATAGATGGCCAGGCCGGGAGTGGCGGCTCATGCCTGTAATCCCGGCACTTTGAGAGGCAGAGGTGGGCAGATGGCTAGGTCAGAAGTTTGAAACCAGCCTGGTCAACATGGCAAAACACTGTCTCTACTAAAACAAAAATTAGCTGGGTGTGGTGGGGCTCACCTATAATCCCAGCTACTCACGAGGCTGAGGCAGAAGAATCATTTGAACCTGGGAGGCGGAGGATACAGCTACAGTGAGCCGAGGTCACACCACTGCACTCCAGAGAGATTCCATCTCAATAAAAAAAGAAAGAAAGAAAGAAAGTAGACGGCCAGGCGAGCAAGGCTGACAGATCGCTTTGAGCCAAGGAGTTTGAAACCAGCCTGGGCAGCATGGCAAAACCCTAGCTCTACTAAAATATACAAAATTAGCTGAGTTTCGTGGCATGTGCCTGTAACCTCACATACTTGGGAGGCTGAAGTGGGAGGATTGCTTGAGCCCAGGAGGTCAAGTCTGCAGGGAGCTGAGATCACACCACTGCACTCCAGCCTGGCCAACAGAGTGAGACTCTGTCTCAATTTAAAAAGTAATAAAAAGGAAAAAAAAGATAACCTACCTAATAGGAGAAAATAGTTGCAATAATATATATCTGACAAGCCTCTCGTGTCTCAAAGACATGAGTAACTTTTACAACTCATCCATATAAAGACAAATATTAATAGTTCAGTTACAAAACAGGCAAATAACTTGAATAGATATTTCCCAAAAGAAGATAAAAATAGATATTTCCCCAAAGAAGTTGTCATTAAGCCAACAAGCACATGAAAAGATGCTCAACATTTGCCTTAGTAAGGGTTCTCTGGGAAAACAGAATAAATTATATATATATATATAAAATTATACATATATTTTAATTATATATAAAACAGAATAAATTACCTAAATTATATGTAAAATTATACATATAAATATATAGGCATATATATAATAGATAAAAATATATAGGCATATAAAATTGTACATATAATTAAATTCTTTGTATCATTTAGGTACATAATTATATATAAATTTAATAAACTATATATAATACATATATTATTTATAATAAATTATATATATACAGAAATTATAAATATACCCAAATTACGAATATTATAATAAATTATATGTATGCCCAAATTATACATACTTTGATTTTCTAGAGAACCCAAATTATGCATATATATAAATTGGCTCAGGTAATTATGGAAGCTAAGAAGTGCCAAGATCTGCCATTTGCAAGCTGGAAATCAGGAAAGCCGGTGGTGTATTCGGTCCGAGTTTGACGTCATAACCAGGAGGGCAAATACCTGAGATCGGGAGAAGACGGATGTCCAAACAGAAGCAAATTCGCTCTTGTTTCTCTTCTTTGTTTTGAGACAGAGTCTCGCTCTGTCGCCCAGGCTGGAGTGCAGTGGCGCGATCTGGGCTCAGTGCAGCCTCTGCCTCCCAGGTTGAAGCGATTCTCCCGCCTTAGCTTCCCTAGTAGCCGCGATTACAGGGGCGCGCCACATTGGCTTTTTTTTTCTTTTTTTTTGTATTTTTTTAGTTGACAGGAGGTTTCACCATCTTGTCCAGGCTGGTCTCAAACTCCTGGTCTCAAGTGGTCCACCCGCCTCGGCCTCCCGAATTGCTGGAATTACTGGCACGAGCCACTGCGCCCGGCCAGCTCACGGTGGGGCTTCGTCCTGCTTCTAGTGGGCTCCCACCTGCTGTTATGCCCTGTGTCCGCCAGGCGGCGCCAACACACCCCGCTGCAGCCCCTCCAGGCAAGGTAGAGACTGGACAGAGAGGGGTGGGACCGGACGGTGGGGTCCTTTGAGGAAGCAGGTCCTTAGAGAGGGCGTTGTTGAGACACGCTGTTCCCACACAGGGGTCTCCTGTTGCCCTAGAAACTCCAAATTCTGGGGGAGCAGGAGACAGGTAGTGTTACGGGCTGAATAATCACTCCTAAAGAAACCCACGTCACAATCCCTGGAACCTGCGAATGATAACTCACGGCAAAAGGACTTTGCAGATGGGATGAAGTTAGGAATCTTGAGATGGGGAGATTCTCCTG